AAAGAAGGCGAAGCCTATGAACCTTCTCCCTAGGTTCCCTGGACAGCCATCTGTCACCCCCACTACCCTGTGCTGCAGAAGAGGGAGCACTCCATAGGGAGTGGAACCTATTTCAAGCCCTTGGACAATCCCACTGACTCAGCTTCTTCATCTGCAGGAGGGGGCGTGGTACCCGTCTCCCAGGGCCGTGGCAAGGGCAAACCCCGTGAGGGATGCAGAGTCAAGTCCAAAGCGAACCCTGCTCTGTGTCCTGGCCTTTATCAGGGACACCTTGGACTCATCACGCTGTCCAGTTCCGAGGCCTGCTCATGTCGCAGCTGCTGCTGGTGACTTAGCAGTGAGGCCTGCTGTGTTCTCCCTCCTGACATATGAAGAAAAGAGCTTTATTTAGTTCTAAGCTGCACCTTAGTCTCCTTTTTTGTTTGTTTTGTTTTGTTTTTTTTCTTGTGATGAGGACTTTTAAGATCTACTCTCTTAGCAACTTTCAAGTATACAATACAGTAGTGTAAACTAGAGTCCTCATTGCTGTACATTACATCCCTAGAACTCTTGTAACTAGAATGTTGTACCTTTTGACCCCTTCATCCATTTCACCCACACCCACACCCACACCCACGCCCCCTTCCTTCTGGCAACCTCCAATCTGTTCTCTGTATCTAGGAGCGTGGGTTTTCTTGCTGTTGTTTTGTTTTAGATGCCACATATAAGTGAGATCATGTGGTATTTGTCTTTCTCTGCCTGACTTTTTTACTTAGCATAATGCACCTCAAGTTCCATCCATGTTGTTGCAAAAGGCAAGATTTCATTCTTTTTTATGGCTGAATAGTATTCCAGTGTGTGTGTGTGTGTGTGTGTGTGTGTGTGTGTACCACATCTTCTTTATCCATTCATCCATCCATGGACACTTAGGTTGTTTCTATGTCTTGGCTATTGTAAATAATGCTACAGTGGGGGTACAGATATCTTTCCAAATTACTGTTTTCATTTTCTTTGAATAAATACCCTGAAGTGGAATTGGTAGATCATAAGGTGGCTTTATTTTTTATTATTTGAGGAACCTCCATACTGTTTTCCATAGTGGCTGCACAATTTACATTCCCACCAGTAGCACACAGGGCTTCCTTTTTCTCCACATCCTCACCAACACTTGTTACTTCTTGAAAAGGAAGGAGCTTTACTTAGTTCTAAACTGCATCTTAGTCTCTTTTTAATTTCCATCTGCATTATGGCTTTTTTTAATCCATGCAGAATAGAGAGCGGCAAAGTTTGCACTGTGTTTGGGCTCAGGTCAGCAGGATGGACAGACACATGCAGGGCCTGGGCACAGAGTCTGCAGTGGCAACCACACTGGACAAGGTGACTGGGGGCCCGTGGGCAGGCGAGATCCGGTGGGCAATGGTACAGAGCAGGGAAGGTTTGAACAGAAGCATGCAAGGGCAGACAAGAGGGGAAAGTGGCCAGAGGCCAGGCAAGACCCCTGCCGCGGCTTGGGTGTAGTGTGGACACAGAACTGAAGTGCCTGCCATGTCGGCTCCAGCCCCCACTTCTTCTGGCTGCATGGCCTGGGGCAAGGCCTTCCCCTCACTGGGCCTCAGTTTCCTCCTCTGTAAGATGGGTGTGATAAGACCTTCCTTACACAGGGCTTCTGTTGTGATTCAGGCAGAGTGTGGAGGCCACCAATAGCCCCCAGAAGAGACCCAGGATGGGACTGGGCCCTCTGTGTTATGGCAGCTGAGAGGGCTAGGGTGAGGGGTCCCCCATAGAGATGCCCAGAGGGACATGGCCCTGAGGAGGCCTAGCAGGGCCTGAGCATGGGGGGTAGATGAGGGGCAGGACCTACTTTTAGAGGACTGCTAAAGGGAAAATGCTTTTCATACGGATCCAGGTCAGGACAGCCAGGAGCTGGCCCAAGGAGACAGGCCGGCTAGGGCAGCTTCTGATGAGCTGCAGATGGCGGGGACCGAAACTGCACCTGACCAGGAGCCCCCAGAGCCTGGGCCCCCAAGACCTTGGAATGGCCCCACTCCCCCTCTTCTGGGACCCTAGCTGCCCCCAGGCCATCACCCTGACATCCAGACCCTCAACTGAATGTGAAGGGAATGGCCAGAAGCACTTAGGAGACCAATTTTCAGAATTGCCCTGGTTTCCTGCCAGAAGCACTTAGGAGACCAATTTTCAGAATTGCCCTGGTTTCCTGCCTGGAGTGAGGCCCTTGAGTGAGGGCACCAAGGAGCAGTCGCTCTCACAGCATCTGGGGAATCTGCAGATGGCTGTCGGCCAGGGCAGTCTGGAGACCCAGCCAGGGAAACTGGCTGTTTACCACTGGACCCAGCAGGCAGGTGGACCCAGTCCATGGCACCCCCATTGGATTCCTCTACACCTCCACAAGGGTATAGAGGAATCCAGTGAGGCTTTGTCAGGTGGGTGGACAGTGGGAGCTTTTGGGCAGCGGTCACCAGTCGTCTGAAGATACCACAAAGCCCCCAGACCACTGAGAGGCCCCAGCTCTCTAGACCCACCCTTGTATTATTTGACTTTTGCCTTCAAAGACCACAGCAGTGCAGGGAGCTAAGAGCTTTCAAGACTCTTCCTGTTATGTCTTAGTTCAGGCTACTCTAAGAAAGTACCATAGACTGCATGGCTTATAAACCACAGAAATCTATCTCTTCAGTTCTGGAGGCTGGGAAGTCTGAGATCAGAGTGCCAGCACAGTCGGGTTCTGGTGAGGGCCCTCTTCTGGGCTGCAGACGTTCAACTTCTCACTGTGTTCTCACATGTTGGGGAGAGAGGGCCAGAGAGCTCTCTGGGGTCCTTTTTATAAGGGCACTAATCTCATTCATGAAGGCTCCACCTTCATGACCTAATCACTTCCCAAAAGCCCCACCTCCACATACTATCACATTGGGGGTTAGGTTTCAACATATGAATTTGGGGGGGACACATTCAGTCCCTAACAAGTTACAAGTGACAGAAACTCAATTCAAACTGGCTTAAGGAAAGAAATGTATTCGCTGACAAACAGAAAGAAGTATGCAGAGATAGTTTCAGCTTCAGGCCCTTTGCGTGCCTTTCTCTCTGTCTCTCAGCTCTGCCTTCCTCTCTGTTGGCTCTTTCTCAAGCCATGTGGTGCCCCCAGGAGCTCCAGGATTAGCCCCATCAGGAGAAAAGAATCCTCTTTTTTCTAAAGCTCCACCATTCAAAGTCCCAGGCATGACACTCATACCTGAACTACTCACCCTGGCCGAGGGAATATGGTCACATGTCCAAACCCTATGGGGTGGATGGGGGTGGCTTTGGAGAAGAAACGGGCTCTGTTATCAGAGGAGGGGATTCTGGACAACAAACAGCACAGAGATGCCCCCACCCTGAGTCCACGTGAAATGTACCCAAGACCATGGGCTCGGGGCAGGCTTTGGTCTCTTGTCACTCAATTGTGCCTCTGGGTTGAAAAACACAGAAGAAATGCCTTTCCTGTGTGTAACCTCTGTGCTCTCTCACTCTCTCTCTCACTCTCTCTCTCTCTCTCTCTCTCTCTCTCGTTTTCCAGGGACCACTGGGTCTGGATGGCAAGCCCGTAAGTGATAACAGGGCAGTTGTAGGTGGTCCTGGGATGGGGCTGCCCCTGGGGTTGGGAGTTACCGTGGATGCCAGAGAGAAGGGCCACTAAGAACCTGGTTTAGCATGGAGAGAAGCTATTTGACCATCAGACTTGAGTTTAAATCCTGCTCCACCACCTGCTGACTCCTCCTTGAGGAGGCCTCTTCACCTCCCCAGCCTGAGGCTTCTGTTTGTCAAACAGGCATATTAACTCTCCCCACAGGGATGCTGGGGATGCAAAGAACTGTGAACAGCACTGTCCCTGGTGCCCAGTCAGCCCTCAAAACACAGAAGGCCCTCCCAGCAGACCCCACATGAGGCACAAAGCATCCCCTCATACAGTCTCAAGACTTAGATGGTGGACATCAGGCTGAAGAGTTCTCAACACCTGGACCAGAAGCATATGGTCCACTGGCATCTTTAGCAGAATGAATAAGATGCACACAGAGACAGCATAATAAAATGAATAATTGGATATGGATGGAAGGAAGGAAGGACAGATGGATGAATAGATTGATGAACAGATGGACAGATGGATGGATGAATGGATGGGTGGATGGAAGAAGAGTCAAATGAGGTAATGAATTGTACACACAGTTGGATGCATGGAAGAGTAGATGAGTTAGTGGATGGATAAATGCATGATGGTTGAGCAGACAAGCGAGTGAAAAAAATGAATGAATGAACAAATGATTGAAGAGCTGACCGATGAGTGCATCATTAAAGGGGAAGAAAGAACCCACTACCTAGATGGATGAGTGAATGAGCGAATCCATCACTACCTGAAGGGGACATGGATGTTTTGGGAAGGAGGCCAGTGATCGAGGTCCCTGACCAAGAGTGTGAACCCCAAGCTGGCCCACTGCAGCCTGGCCCCCACCCCGGGGTCTCTGAGCTCCACAGTTGGTGCCTTGTGTGTGACCTGACCAGCTTCCCTAGAAGTCCTGGTAACTTGGCAAAACTGAAAGAGACACATTTCCCTGCAGCCAGAGGGTGATGGCAGCCATCATGGCCTGCAGGGAGCCACCTCCACATCCACACACCCCCAGACTGTGAAGACAGTGACCTCCTCACTGGTACCTGGGCACAACGGGTGCTGAGCAGGGAGGGCTCTGTTCTCTGGGGGAAATGACTAGCACATGTGCCCCTGTCCAGAGAGGATGCCAATGACCACCCCAGTCTCCTGTCCTCCTTGTGGTGAGCACTGAGGTTCAGAGCTTCCTTGGGGCCAGCACAGGCAGCCCTCATAAAGGCTGATAGGCGTGTATGTTTTTTCACTCAGCTGCCCACAGCTCTGCTCAGCCTCACAGGCCCTTCTGCCCTCAAAGCCTCAGGGAATACAGAAGGGGGCTAGCCTAGTGCTCTTCACTCACTCCTGTTCTTTCTCTATCTTCCTTCTCCAGGGACTTCCAGGCCCCAAAGGAGAAAAGGTAAGTGATGCTGGAAGCTGTCCAGATGCAGTAGGCTGATAAAGGAGGCCAGAAATCTGCCTTCAAACCCCAGCTCCAGAGTGTGACCTTGGGCAAGTTACATCCCCTCCTGGAGCCTTACTTTCCTCATCTGTGAAGTGGGGCTAGTGGTGCCTACCTCCTAAAATGGTTACAAGGCTTACATTTGACAATTTAAAGTACCTGGAGGGTTGAATCCGAGTTCTCCTGGCACCAGAGTGTAACAAAACTCAAAGCACAGTCTACCCAGAATGACGAGTTTCCAAAATAATCAATCCTGAAAAGGGGAAGGTGCCAGAAGAGCCTGTGGAATTGAACACTGACTGTTGATGGCATTCTTTGTGGGGAGGACACCCCCCCAGGAAAACAAATGGCAGAGAGCTAACCCTTTGCAGCCCTTTGTGAGAAGGTCTTCCCTGACATTTGGCACTAAATGTCACAGTCAGACTCCTGGAGGGCTGGGAACTCCAAGTGACTTGGAGGGGAGCAGGAGAGAGGGGAGACCTGTGTGTCCCACAGTGGAGTCAGGGGAGGGAGGGGCCATAACAGACCTGGGTGTGGTAGAACCGACAGGGCACTTCTAAGGCAGGGCAGGGCAGGGCTGGGCTGGGCTGCACCACTGCTATGTGGCCCACATAGGTCAGGGCAGCCAGTGTTCCGGTCCACCCTCAGGGCTGAGCAAGGCACAGGATCTGGTGTTCAGAGCCTCAGGTTTGCATTACAGCTCCACCACCAACTGTGTGGCCTTTGGCAAGTTACCCAGCTCTCTGGGCCTCAGTTTCTCCATCTGTAAATTAAAACCAACCTCTCATGGGGAAGACTGCGTGAGGTAAACGTCTGAATGTTCTTTGTAGATGATGAGACACTCGTGCAGTTGGCAGGTACAGTGATTGCCTTCTTGCCAATTCTGGCTGATGCCACCGAGTCATAGAAATGATTAAGGTAGGGGCTTTGAAAACAGAGAGAAATTGAAGTCTTGGCATCTACTGCTACATAGCATACTGCCCCAAAACTTGGTGACTTAAAACAGTAAATCAATTATCATCCCTCATTATTCCCAGGTTCGGGGGTTCCACTCTGCTGTGTCTGGGGGCTGCCAATAGATAACAGACCACCTGGCTCCAAGCCCTGGATCTGCTAGCTGTGTGACCTTGAGGAAGTTACTTAGCCTCTCTGTGCCTCAGTTTCCTCATTGGAAATGGAGATGACATAGAGCCTTTATGTTTTTTTTCTTAGAATGAAGTGAGACTGTGTATATGAAGCACTGAGCACAGAGTAAATGCTCCACACATGTGAAGTAGTAATAAAAGTAGTGGTGATGTATCACCCTGTTTTTTGTTCCTAGGGTGCACCAGGAGACTTTGGCCCCCGGGTAAGAACTGAGCAAGACCCTCCCCTGATCCCACATGGTTTGTTTCATATCATAATAAGGTATACCTAGCGTTTCTTCTGGATCCCTATGCTTATCACAGAAAAAAATGAGCAAGCAGCCCCTCCCCACCCGTGGTCTATCTCGCTGCCTGTTTTCACTTCAACATCCGCTGGGTGGAAGCCCCAAGCACCTTGATTTGGCCGAGGCTGCCATCCCCTGCACAGACAAGGACTCTCTGGCAGACATCCAGTCACCCTTATCACCGTAGATGGGCAGACAGTGGGGCTGGCACTGGGCCCAGACTGGAGGCTGATCTTCCTGAGGGCAGCTGGCACCCAGGAAGAGGGAAGACTGTGGATGTAGCCAGCAGCCCTGAGCCCAGAGTTCAGCTCTGCCACTTACCAGCTGAGTGACCTGGAGTGAGTCACCTTCCCCTCTGAGACTCAGTTTCTCCAACTGTGAATGGGGATGACATCCTTGACCCCAAGCCACTGAGGTGAAGATTCATGGCAATCAGGAAAGTGGGCACCCGGCACCCCAAGTGGGAACAGTAGATCAGAGTCTCTGTCCAGCCCACTTCTAGCCCTTCATGCCCCCTGAGTCCAGGCACCCAGAAGTGCCTTGTTCTGAACCAGGGTTCTCCTCAACGGAGGCTGAAGCAGAGAGGAGACCTCTGCTGGTTGGGCCCCACAAAGCAAGTCTTGGCAATTTGGTGGGGAGCTTAGCGGGGGATGCCCACTCGTGGATCTCTGTGCAGCTCAGGCTTTCCCCAGGCTGGTGGGGGCTTTCCTAAAGGGGCTTCCCAAGAGCAGCATTCTAAGCAGCACGAGACCAGTTAAGAGCTACCTCCAGAACGGACACAGCAGCACGTCCACTGCATTCTATTGGTCACAGCAGTCACAGGGCCCGCCCAAGTCAAGAGGGTGGAGAAATGGACTCCAGCTCTTGGGGGAGTGCAAGGTCCCATTGATGAGGAGCCCGTGGGATGGGAGCAAGGATAGCACCCATGTTTGGAGAATGTGTTCCGCCACTTCCAATGACCAGGCTTCCTCTCTCCAGGTGGGGTTAAGTGGTTTTGCCTCCAGAAATAGCCTGGTCATTTCTAAATCACCCTCCTGCCTTTCTCATCACACACCTCTTTGCCAACTAGATGGTTTTCCCGAGGCTCAGTCCAGGATTTATAAGTAGAGACCATCACGTGTACAATCGCCGAATCCTCAAGGTAGACTGGCGGAGTCTGGGCTGCTGGTGTGTACACTCCCCTCGACTCACCCCACATTCCCGGGGGAGACCTCAGCCATCCGATCCTGGTGGGAGGAGGAGGAGGAGGCTGACCAGCCTCATTCCAAGTAACTCAGGAGAAGACCCTAAACCTCCTCTAGAACCTGCTCAAGTATCTACACCCATTTTCTGCCTTGGTAAGGAGCTTCCAGGCCAGTGGTTCCCACCCTGAGCCCTTGAGCTATTAAAGGAGCAGCAGTGGGTGGGGTATCTTCAACTGATTCCTAACACAGTGTAAAATGAGACAGGAATGACCCACCACTATTGCCACTCTGGTTGGGTGACCTTACCAAACTCAATTGTCTTTTGGCTGGAATTCTATCTTCTTGGTCAGGACCCTGGCTGAGTCAGACTGATCAGAAGATCTGCATGGTGGACATTGCGAGCTTCAGTTAATTTTTTAATTAGGAAAACAAGTGAGCTATGTCTTAAGTGCAGTGGTCTAGAGAACCAAGTTCTCTCATATCGTGGGGTCACAGATGAAAAATGCTGTCTAAAAGAGACTCTTGCCTCAGTGGTCAGAGGAGACAGTGCCTTTCCTAGCTCTGTAACCTTGGGTAAATGATTACATTCTCTGACCACTGGCTACTCCATCTGTAAAATGGGACAATAGCAGTGCCCTGGCCAGGTGGTCGCAGGGTTAGGTGAGATAACCTCCAGGTAGGCCTCACTCCTCAGCGCTTGGGCACACAGCAGGGGCCCAATCCACAAAAGGCTTCTTCCTTTCTTGGTGACAGGAAGGTTAGGAACTGCTGGCACTGAGCCAGACGTGCCACATTACTGTGCCCTAAACCAGTGCTGGGCGGGCACCACTGAGGCAGCAGGAAGTGCTGGGGGCACTGTGGTCTCTCCTCCTCTCCTCCTTGCAGGTGGGGCCACAAGGTGAGGGCTCTGGCTGCCTGAGGTCTGACCCATTACTAACACTGCCAAGAGTGAGGGATTTGGTGCTGCATGAGAGAGATGGTGTGGTCCTTTGTCGCTCTTTTTTTTTTTTTTTTTTTTGAGATAATTAAAAATTCACAGGCAGTTGTAATAAATAATACCCCGTGTACCCATCATCCAGTTTCCCCCAATGGTGACATCTTGCATTGCTGTAGTACAACCTCACAACCAGGAAATTGACACTGATATAATCTGCCAACCTTATTCCATTTTCACCCATTTTACTTATTTGTGCGTCTACTTATTTCCATGCAATTTTATCACCCTTGAGATTTGTGCAACCACCACCCAAAGATCCCTCCTGCTATCTTTTTATAGCTGTAGTTACCTCCCTCCCTGCCCCCATGCCTAACCCCTGGCAACCACTAATCTGTGCTCCATCTCTATAAATTTGCATTCCAAGAATCTCATGTAGATGCAGTCATCTAGTAGCCAACTTCTGAGATTGGCTTTTTTCACTCAGCATAAATCTTTTGAGATGCATCCAAGTTGCTACATGTGTCAGTACTTTGTTCCTTTCTATTTATTGCTGAGCAGTATTCCATGACATGGATGTACCCCAGTTGTTTAATCATTCACCATTGAAGGACATTTGGATTGTTTCCTGTTTGGAGCTATTATGAATAAAGCTGCTGTGTACATTCATGTATGGGCTTTTGTGTGAACATGTTTCTGTTTATCTGGGACAAATGCCCAAGAGTGTGCCTCTATCACTTAATAAAGCAGGAGCTGACCGACCAGGAAGGTCTTTCAGGAGGCTTACAGTCCCCATTCCAGAAGGAAGGGTGCTGGTTGGGCACTTGTGCTTTGTCCCACACCTAGTGTGTCTCATCTCTCACCTAAACACCGTAGCTGGGCTTCAGGCACTGAGAGCTGGAGACATGGAGCATGCCGTGGAGTGTACAAGATCCTCTTGGCCTCTTATGCAGAGGTATAGGGACCTGTCCCTTTGTGTGGCCACCAAGAAGTGGCAAGAGGCCCAATAACAAACCCCTTTCCTCTGAGCCTGCCGAGGGCTGGGAAGGTGAAGGCATCTGGCCGCCCATCTAGGGAGGCCTCTCTCTGAGGCCAGAACCCCTTCCCCTCAGCCTCAGAGTCATGCTGGGCCCCATCTCTTCCAGGGAGATCAAGGGCAAGATGGAGCTGCTGGGCCTCCAGGGCCCCCAGGACCCCCTGGGGCCCGGGGCCCTCCTGGCGACACTGGGAAAGATGGCCCCAGGGGAGCACCAGGCCCAGTGGTAAGAGAGAGCATGGAGCTGGACCACCCAGGACGTGGTTCTGTACTTACCAAAACTCCAAACCCTGATCCTAGAATCAATGCCAACCCTAGCCCTATCCCAAACACCCACCCAGACTCTTACTCCAGTCACACCTTAAATCTGACACTAACCAGGTCCTTAACCCCAATTTAGACCTTGACCCCAAACTCACTCCCAAATCCAGATCCACACCCCCAATTCAGATTGTTATCCAGACCCTAACTCTCACCCTTACAGACTCTGACCCAGCTCTTATCTCCACACTCTAACCCCACATAGATTCATAGACCCTGACCCTAACCTTGGTTATAGTCTCAGTCCCAATCTACACCCGGAGACCCATATGAGGCTGCTGTCTCTGCAGATCTCTACCAACCTCTTCTCCCTCTCTCTCTCTCTCCCTCTCAGTCTCTCTTTCTTTTTATCTCTCTGTTTTTTCTTTACTTCTCTCTCTCTTTCTCCTACTAACTAAGCCTCAGTTGTCCTCCCATAGTCCTAACCCCAATACCGGAGGCCAAATCTCATTGTACTGCCTCTTTCCTTCACCCAGGGGCTCCAACCTGTACTTTCCCTCCAATGCAGAGCTGGCACCTCCACCAAACTGCCACCAGGGTCCCCTGTCAGGGAAGCTACTCAATTGGCTCACCAATTCCTTGTCATGTTGGGCATATAATTCCCTGAGTCTCAACTTTCTTGTCTGTGGGGTGGGGACAGTGATGCCCACTTTTCAGAAGTTTGGTGAGGACAAAATGTACTTGCAGCCCCAGCCCAGGGTCTGGCGGGAGATGGGGGCTCAGTCAACTGTGAGCCCCTGCCTCCCCTCATTGCTCTCCTCTTATGCCTCCTCAGGGTGCCAAAGGAGAAGCTGGACAAGATGGCGAGACGGTCAGTATCCAGGGCATTTCAGAGGTCCAGGCTGGCAGGACCGTGGTTCCAGGCCCAGAAGCCCCTCTCCCACACACACCCACATCGGGGTTGGGTGTGCGGCTGTATGTGTGTGCACACCTGCACTCTTGCCCCCCCACCACCTGTGGGGAGCAGATGGGCCAGGACTCCAGCCCCAGCAGAATTCTCACAGACCCAGACCCCTGGGAGGGAGCCTGCAGTCCACTTGTCACTGCTTGAGATCTAAAGCAGATTTCTGTCCAAGATACAAATGGGTGGCACAGCCGGGTTCCAGAGACAGCCCTGCCTGCCCTCTGGGACTTGGTGTCACCCTTTATAAAACAAGGATGCTAAGGAAGACAGCCCGGGAGCCCTGTCTGGGATCACGTTTAACACCCCTTCTTCTCTCATTCCAGGGCCTGAGTGGACCCCCAGGGCCCAAGGTAAGTTCCTCTCACTTCTGTCTCAGGCCTGGGGTGGGGGGGCTCCCTCACCCCACCACCTTCCCCTCCCCCACCCCCACTGAAGCCAAAGTGGCAGGGTTAGAAGACCAAGTTCTGTAACCTTAGGCAAGTGACTTCATCTCTCTGTTCCTCAGTTTACTCATCTGTCAAATGGGGTCATGATAAACTTTTCCTGCCTTTCCTTCACAGCAAGTTGTGAGGATCGAATAATAAAATCCATTAGCTTGTCAGCTCTCTTTTCTTCCCTCCTTGAGCAGCACCTGCCAGGGTGGGAAGGCAGGCTATGGTCCTCCCTGAAGGAGCCAGAGCCCCTGGACTGAGCAGGAGGGAAAGGTGGGAGAGGAGCCCCCTTTAGTGAGTGCCTGCTGGGAGTCAAGGGCCTTCAATGCATTCCCTCTAATCTCACAACCACCCTCTGAGGCTGGGGGAGTCAGGGCCCCTCTTACAGGAGCAGTGACTTGCCCAGGGTCACTCAGCTTGGGAGGGACCAGGTCAGGGTCGGAGTGGAGTCCAAGACCGTCAGCCCCAGCACCCACATGCATCTCTCTGAGGGGCTCGGGGGTCTCTGGGCTGTGCTGGATGGGGGTCATCAGGGCCACTTCTACCAGAGGAGCAGGCGCCTGGTGTCCAGGTGGCTCTGACATCTCTTGCATCCCCACTGTCTCCCCTGCAGGGTGAGCCCAGTGTTCCTGGAAAGAAGGTGGGGGTGGCTGTGGATGGCCTTCTTGGCAGGGATGTGGGAAGTGGCTGGAGAGAAGGGCAGGGGCTGGGCACGGCGGAACCCAACCTAAGTCCTGACTGTGGGTGGCGGCTCTGACCTCTGTCTCTGAAGCCAGGATCTCATTCATTCATTCATTCACTCATTCACTCACTCTTAGAGAAATACATCAAACACATACAGTTACTCAAACATATCAGATTTGTTCCCATGTCAAATTGGTTCTCAAAGTGTGATCCCTGGATCAGCAGTATCAGCGTCACTGGGGGCTCATTAGACATGTGTGTTCGGGGCCCATCCCGGAGGCCCCGAGTCAGAGACACTGGGGGTGGGCGTGCTCTGTTCAGGCAGCCCCCTGAGTGGTGCTGACATGTGCTCAAGTTTGGGAACCACTGACCCAGATTAATCTTCCCCCATTGCTTCCCATGGATGGGCCTCCTCCTCCTCTTCCTCCTACTGGGCTCAGCAAAGCTGCCCCCTCCTCCGGGGGACTGTCCACAGCCACCTACTGAAACACATGCTCTCCCTGAGTCCCTCTCTATCCCAACATTCTCTTATATTCTCTTGTCTACTTCCCGGCATGGGGCTATGAATTTATCTGAATATTTCCTTGCCCTCAGTCTCCTCTGACTCATTGAGCAGGGACCCCATCTGCCTGGCTTGCAGAGGGTGCTCAGAGATGTTTGCTGACAGAGGAAATGAATTCCCTCTCCTTCACCCACCCATCCATTCCTTCTGCACACACCTGCTAAGGTGTGCTCTGGGCTAGCGGGGACAGGGGACAGAGGTGGCTCTGACCCCACCCCTGCCCTAGAGTTACGAAGAGGGGAGAGGGGCGCTGCCCCAACCCAGTATGACCAGTGCTGCTGCCAGAAGTGGACTGGTGTGCTGGGGAGTACAAAGCGGGAATGGCCAACTGACTGCCAGAGGACCCAGCCAGTGTGTGCAGGTTGAGGGCTGCAGCCTCCACTGTTCTCTCCTCAGGGGGATGATGGGACACCAGGCCAGCCAGGGCTCCCAGGACCCTCAGGGCCCAAGGTAGGTACATGTCCCTCCCTCAGTGGTCCCCCTGCCTCCCACCTCCCCAGTTCCCACCTGCCTGGTGAAGCCCTACGCCGCCCTTTCACATCATGGCACATGGGTTGATGACCAGGACAGGCCAGAGGGAGGCAAGCAGTAAGGCCAGGGTCCCACTCACCAACGGGCCTGGCAAGTCACCCAAGCCATTTGCCTCCCCTCACACCCTCAAGTCTTCTGGTTCCCATCTTAGGTGGCCCCACTCTACCCAGTCCCCAAGGCAGGAACTGGGTATCTTCCTTGCTTCCCCAACCCCTTAAGACAACCACCAAATCCTGGCCAGCCTGCCTCCAAACTGGCTGAGCCCCTGAGCTGCTCCAACCATGCGCCAAGACCAAACCAGAAGGGGCCTTGGTCCTGAGTCCTCTGGGCTGCACTGAGCCCATGCCCCCCAACCCCCGGCTGGGCTCAGGCACGTTCTCAGGAGTTACTCCGGAAGCCCACAGACCCAGGCGGCCCCCAGCCTGCCCCCAGCGCTCTCTCACAGCACACGCCTCTGTTGCAGGGCAAGCCAGGGAGCGCGGGGCCTCAGGGAGAGAATGGCGTGGACAGAGCCCTGGGGCCCAAGGTGACATCACAGTCCACTGCTCTGGTTCCCAAAGGCCCATCACGGGGGAGATGGGTTTCCCCTCCAATTTGCCCTTTTAAGTTGGGAGTCCGGGAGGTCCCAGGCCCAGGGGTCTTGTTTGATTGGCAATCAGAAGCCCACCTGGGGGCGGGTGGCAGTGGGTCTGGGCGAGTGATGAGGCCTCCACTGTGTAGCCTTGGGCTTCTGGGCCTCAGTGGCCCATCTCTACACAACGAGGGGTCAGAGGAAGGTCTCACAGGCCCTCCCTCAGGGAGCCCCATTCCCGGGATGCCAGTCATGTCCACTCGGCCCTGTGTCCTTTGGGGAAGAGGGGACTAGAGTGGGCAGGGGAACTTTTGGCTTTAGCCCTGCACACCTGGCTGCAACCATGTGTCTCCACAGGGGGAGCCCGGCCAGCCAGGCGCCGATGGAGCCACAGGGCCGCGGGTAAGCCGTCTTCCCCCAGCCACACCAGTGGGATCCAGGGGCCTGATTCCTTCTGAAGCCCCCTGTCCCCCAGAGACCCCAGAAGAGCTGGCAGGAACTGGGAGTCTTTTTTTAATAATAATAATTCATTAGTGATTTTTTTTTTTTTTTTGCTTTTAGTCTCATAATACATGCTTTTGGTAAAATGTTCAACTATGGATGTGAAAATAAGAGTCCCGTCCTCTCCCCTCTTCTCCTCCTCCCCAGGAAAGTGTCTGCCCTCCCAGACTCTTTTCTTGGCGTATTCAAACATAGACCTCGATTTGCGACATATGGCATTACCCTCCCCCTGTGGGGCCTTGCCTTTCCCCCAGCCCCACATCACCGTTCACCCCTGTCTCTGGAGCACAGCCACCGCAGCTGGTTCCAGATCTTTTGTGATGAGCCCCTATCAACACACTTTTAGAACTACATCCCAGCCCCTGTTATTGGCCCTGTGATTTTGGGCAATCACATCCCCATTATGCTCCCAGAGGCAGCCTTCCTCCTCCAAAACACAGGTCTAAGCCCGCAGCCTGGTCGTGCAGGTGGCCAGGGAATTGGATTAAGCATTGAGTGTGGGAATTCAGTGTACACCTTACAGTTCCGTGAAGGCCATGACCGTGGAGGCAGCTGGCAAATGATGCCCTGGCCTGGGTCTCTCCATCCTGCGCAGATGGCCTCAGGCCTGACCAAAGTGCTCCCAGACCCCGCTGCTCTCCTAGCAGAGAAGAGTCCAGTGGGGAGGTGAGGTTCAGATGAAAGGTGAGGTTCCAGCAGCAGTGCACATGCCTGTGAGGATGCGTGCCTGTGTGGACACATGCATGTGCAACACATACATGTGGACATGTGTGGGGGGGGTGTGTGCTCAGAACCAGGAGCGAATGGGAGTGTCAGTGCCTGGTGTGTGCAGTCTCCACCTGAGGTTAAGAAACTGAGGTACAAGGGCAGCATCCAGCCGGCATGTCTTTAATTGGCCCGCGCAGTGTTTTGGAGGGTTTGGGTGTTTTTGTTTGTTTGCCAACATTTAAAAGTCTGAAGCACTTCACATCAAAATCAGACTCTCCATTTTCTCTCAAGAACGCAGGGATGCGCCTCAGTGGGCTTCAGTTCCCACGTGAAGGCAAATCACAGCCACCCCCAGGCTAGGCGGAGGTGTGTTCCTCAGTTGGCCCCAGGCATCCCCCTTCCCTTGTGTCACCCCCTGCCTGGCCCCTGGATTGCTCAGTCAGGGTGCCAGTGCCTGAGAGAATGCAAGAAGACACCATGCTGGGGCCGCCCAGGGTACAGCTGAGAGCTGACCCACAGCTCACTGGCCTGTGTGCAGCCCTGGTTACTAGGTTCTCTGGGTAAGACAGAAATGACTACCATGCTTTTCCCTGAAATTCTTCCTCTTCTTTCTGCCTCAGGGTCCCCCAGGCCTCAAGGGTGAGCAAGGAGACACGGTGGTAATTGACTACGATGGCAGGATCTTGGATGCCCTTATGGTAGTGTTCCTGGTAGACCCTGATACACCCTTGCTGTTCGTTTCCTGAGGGAATATTCATTTACTTTGTGTATAAGTCCTGCACCTCTTTACACAAGGGACCAGTGGCAGCTTAACGAAAGGCTCCACATTCACCAGGTGCCTGATATGGAAGTCAACTCTGTGTGGAGACCCACACGATGCTGAGAGAGCTACTGTAAATGGGGCCCATGTGGCCCTGAGCTCCTCAGAGGCCAAGGCAAAAAGGGAAGCTCACCCTTCAGAAGCAGGAGGCAGGGCCTCCCGGGGCCTTCCTAGGGAACACAGGCTGGAGGGGGCTGGGTCTTCTAATGACCTCTGGGGGAGAAGAGTGTGGCAAGGCCTGTACTGGGAGGCTCAGGAGATGTATGGCCTCTGAGCCCTGGCCCAGTGCTGGGCAAACTTGGGACCCATCACTGGTAGAGTGAGGGGTTGGGTGCCAGCTGCTCACAGGTACCAGGGAGGGGAGCTGGGGTGGGGAAAGGTGGTCCTCAGAGACAAGACTGGGTGTCAGCACCTAATCCCACCTGAGCTTCAATTTCAGTTATCTCCTACAGGCCTCAGGGAAGCACAAGCTGATGGTAATGTGCCCACCCCAGGCCTGCATGGCGTGGTGTGGTGTGACGTGGCCCAAGGGCGTGCATGTGCATGAGCCGCATGGAGAAGCCCTATGAGCTCAGAGAGGCGGGAAGTGGATTTTGGATGCCAGCCGGGGACAATGACTGGATTCAATGGGCAGTGGGCAGACACAGATGGGTGAAGGGAATGGTACGAAAGGTGGGGATAGCTAGAGGCAGGGAGGCCACCAGGGAGGCATGTGCTGGGCCTGAACCTGGAGAAGGGTGGGTGGAATGGAGGAAGGTTGTAAGACCAGGGGCATCTCAATGGAGGAGCCAACAAGAAGGCACAGGTTGCAAGATATTGGAAGTGTTCATCAACAGATGAATGGATAAAGAAGATGTGTGTGTATATATATACACACACATACAATGGAATTCTACTCAGATATTTTAAAAAAATGAAATTTTGCCATTTGCAACAACATGGATGGACTTGGAGGGTATTATGCTAAGTGAAATAAGTCAGACAGAGAAAGACAAATACTATATGATATCACTTATATGTGGAATCTAAAAACTACAACAAACTAGTGAATATAACAAAAAATAAGACTCACACATATAGAGAACAAACTAGTGGTTACCAGTGGGGAGAAGGAAGTGGGGAGGGGTAATATAGGGGTAAGGGATTAAGAAGTACAAACTATTATGTTTAAAATAAGCTACAAGGATATATTGTACAACACAGGGAACATAACCAATATTTTATAATAACTATAACTAGAGTATAACCTTTAAAAATTTGAATCACTATTTTGTACACCTGTAACTTATATAATATTGTACATTAACTATACCTCAGTTGTTAAAAAGTGGGGGCAGGTTAGTGAGAGGAGGTGGACGGAAGAGACCTGGAACTTGCTGGGCTGGGGGCTGGGCAGCTGCAGCCTTTGTGAAGGGGCATGAGTATGGGGGGTGATGGTGGGCAGCAGGCCTGTGGGAGTCCTGGGTGGGGGCAGGAATTTGGGAGTGAAGACACCATCTCCTCCCAGTGAAACCGAGGGATGCCCAGGACCAGCAGACAGCACCAGAGTTCACAGGAGAGGCAGAGAGCACGGTGCTAGGCCACTGGTGGGAATGTGATCTTTGGCTGGCCTTGAATGCCAGCAAGGTTTTACACTTGTTTCTAGAGGCAATGGGGGAGCCATCGCAGGATCTTGAGCAGGAGTGTGTTGTGACAAAACCTATACTGAGGGCAGAGGGGTTCTGGGCCCTTCGTGGCAATTAGACACTGTGACGTCTTACCCGATACCTGGTGCGGTCTGCCTGGCCTCCCCCAAGACACAAGGCCTGACCTGACTAGGTGGGAAGGGGGCTATAAGGGTCACTGCTGCCTCCAGATGTAGGGGTGGGTGGGGAGTGATGGGGAGGCCCCACCTGAATACTGACCCCTTGACTTTCACACACAGGGTCCTCCTGGGCCACAGGGGCCCCCCGGGCCACCAGGGATCCCTGGAGCCAAGGTTAGTGCAGATGTAGCTATGTGGTCCCCCCAGGCCCCTGTCTCCAGGGCCCACCTCCCCTCTCCCCTCTGCCTCTGCTTCTCTCCCAGCACCCTGGCCTGGCTTCTGGGGCTCAGAGAAAGTGGCCCTGCTCCTTCCTAACCAAGCTGGGTGCCTTCTTCTTGCCCCTGGGTTCTCCCTGGGATCATTCACACGTGTAATCCATAAATGGGCCCCTCATGACCTCACAAAGTCCTGTAGATTACATAGGCATTCCTATGGCCTGTGTGCATCGTTTACACCTGCCCACTTGGCTCAGGAGAAGGAGCCCAAGACTTTGAAATCAGGCAGGGTCTGGTCTCTGCCATCATCCCTGGGCTGTGTGGCCTGGAGCCTCAGCTTCCAAATCTGTAACCTATCAACCTACTATAGCCACGGGCTGCACCTGCCCATAGGGGCTGAGGAAATGGAGGAGAGGGTGGTTGGTGCCTGGCACTGTGCTGGACACCCAGTGGGCATCTTCTTGAAGCTCCAACTGCAGGGACCCAACCCAGGGCTGGTGTGCTGGTCAGGGGAAGCAGCCTGGCCACAAATTCCTGCCAGGGGCTGTGGGACACCATAACCCCCCTTGCTGTCTATTCCCTTCCAGGGCGAACTCGGATTGCCTGGTGCTCCAGGAATCGACGGAGAGAAGGTCTCTGGGCCTTTTATTTCCTTGGTGATGCTGGTGCTTGGCGTCGGACTCTGTGTGTGTGTGTGTGTGTGTGTGTGTGTGTGTGTGTGCGCAGAGTTGGAGAGAGGCAACAGAACAGAGTGGGCTCTGGAGCCTGTGTGCAAATCCTGGTTCTGCCCGTAGACCTCAGGCAAGCTACTCACTTTCTGGCAGCCTTAGTTCCTCACCCACAGGTGAAGATGGTATAACAGGGCTGCCATGAGGGTTAAATAACTGTGTATGGAACACACCTGAGAGCAGTGCCCGCATGTAATAGCAAAGAGTCTTCAAATGTTAGCTAAAAGTATCACTGTCGTTATTAATATTATTCCAAGTGTACATGTGTATGTGTGATCCTACATAGACTCGACAGTGTCCATGAGAACCACTTAACATTCATGGATGTGCTTTAGCACTGGGTCCCTCATGTGTGGCACACAGTGCACGTTACAAAATTGGTTGAATGAGGGAATACGGTGTCTGGAAGGGTGACTGAGGGATGGTTGGTTGTATGTGGGGCTCCCACCATTGGCTCCTGAGATATGAGCACAAGGTTGGCCCCAAACCCCATATGCGCCCCTTGGTAGCTGCCCAGTCCCAGTCCCACTTGCTCCACCCCCTCCACGCCCTGCCCCACCCTGCACCCCTGCTTGCAGTGAGGCACGCTAGGGGCTGCCCCTTCTCTGTCTCCGACCAGGCCCCTCTGCTCATTCATCACCTGGTCTGGAGGGGAGGACCCACAAGGAGGAGGTGGGGGTCTGGCTTGGCCTGGACTAAGCTCTGGGGACCTGCCAGCGTTGGGGGGAGGGAAAGTGCCTACTGTACCTTGTTCTGCGGTTTTCAGGGTCCCAAAGGACAGAAAGGAGACCCAGGAGAAGCCGGGCCGATAGGACCCAAAGGGGAAGCAGGAGAGATGGGCCTGTCAGGCCTCCCGGTATGTGGCTGGGTGGGCCTCACCCTACTTGCCCCATGCAGGGGTCCCAAGGTGAATGTGTGTCCCCCACGGTGGCTGCCAGGGGCTGGGGCCCTATGGTCCTAGTCTCAGCCCAGCCCTGGCCCACCGAGCCTTTAAAGGGAAGCTCTGGGCTGCCCTGACTCTGAGCCCCCACTTCCTCCTCTGTAGAAGGACCTACCACTTACCTCCCAAGGCCTCCTTAAGGTGAAATAAGGAGGCCTCGCCTAGTATCCGGTGGTTAGACTGGGAGCTCTGACAGCCCACGTTTGCATTCTGCTCCATCTCTTACTGACTCTGGAACCCTGTACAAGTGACCTAACCTCCCCGGGCCTCAGTTTCCTCAGCTCTAAAATGGGGGTGAATAAAAAGAAACGAAATTGAGTTATTTGTAGTGAGGTAGATGGACCTAGAGTCTGTCATACAGAGTGAAGTAAGTCAGAAAGAGAAAAACAAACACCATATACTAACACATATATATGGAATCTAAAAAAAAAAATGGTTATGAAGAACCTAGGGGCAGGACAGAAATAAAGACGCAGACGTAGAGAATGGACTTGAGGACGTGGGGAGGGGAAGGGTAAGCTGGGACAAAGTGAGAGAGTGGCATGGACTTATATATACTACCAAATGGAAAATTGATAGCTAGTAGGAAGCAGCCACATAGCACAGGGAGATCAGCTCGGTGCTTTGTGACCACCTAGAGGGGTGAGATAGGGAGGGTGGGAGGGAGACGCAAGAGGGAGGAGATATGGGGATGTATGTATACGTATAGCTGACTCATTTTGTTATAAAGCAGAAACTAACACACCATTGTAAAGCAATTATACTCCAATAAAGATGTTAAAAATTAATTAATTTAATTTAATTAAAATGGGGGTGATAATCTCCCACTCCTACAAGGGAACACATGGACAGGGCTGAGAATGATTGGCTAACATGTGATAAATACCCTCTGTCACCATCATTTTTAGCACTGCTCTTGTCATGTGTGGCTAGGTGCGAAGAGCTGCCACCACTACATACCCATTGTCCATCCATGAGGCTTACTCAGCTAGAGAGCTGGTGCCAGGATTTGAACTCCAGGTCTTTACTTCCAGAGCCCCTGGCTGCCCCCGCCCCACAGGAAACAAACCCACTGATTTAAGGAAAACTATTTTAAGCTGCAAAGGCCAACTTATTGCTGCTGCCCAGAAGCCTTATGGGGGAAGGAAGGGGAGATGCTGAGCCCCATGGATGGTGATTTTGGTGATGGACAGAAAAGGCTCAAGGCCATCCTATCCTGCAGGGTGCCGACGGCCCCAAGGGGGAGAAGGGAGATCCGGCATCTGACGACCTACAGGAGAGCCTGGTAAGGGGGCTGCTGATGATCTCTGCTGAGGGCTGGCTGGGGCCCTGAGCCTTGGGACACAAGGGCCACCTGGCCTGACCAAGCCCAGGGCAGTGAGGGAGGGGGAGGGGGAGCCTGAGGCCTGTCTTTGAACCCAAAGGCCAGCACTGGGCCTCCCACCAGGCAGAGCCCTCCTGGGGGCAGCAGGGAGCTTGGCGCCCATACCCAGGCAGTGCTCCTCCAATGTCCGATGAACTCAAGTGTGGGTGAGTGAGGGATGACGGGGCGATGGGTGACTAATCCACCTCTGACCCTTCCTAGGCCCAGATCATAGTGGAACCAGGGCCTCCAGGCCCCCCTGGTCCCCCAGGCCCCATGGTAAGAATGTTTGGCTTGAAGCAGCTGGGATACGAAGAGGGTGGTGGGCTCAGGCCCAGGGGAGGAGAGGATACCGCAGGGGGGAGGGGGCACATCAGACAAGGAGGGCAGAGCCCAAGTCTGGGTTTGGGAGGCCACAGAGGTCAGGGCCGCAGGGGCCAGTGAGTGGCCTGCAAGCCTATGTGGCCACTGCAACAGGGCCTGACCTGGAGGTCTGGACCCATCCTGATGGCCTTTCTGACCTGCTTTCCCCTCCTCCTCCAGGGCCTTCAGGGAATCCAGGGTCCCAAGGTGAGTCCTAAAGCATGGGTAGGAGCCCCTCCCACTTGCTGCAGGCTCACAGCCTGGACAGTTCCAAAACGTCTTGCTAGTAGGCAAAGCGAGGGCCCCATGCTCGGCCCTGGACCAGCCCTGCATCTTCCCAGGGCCTGGCCATTCCCAATCCCCTGTAGAATAATCCCGCTGATGCCCCCCACCCAACACTTGGCCTCTCCATTCCTTGCCCCCTCCCCTAGTGCACATCTGTCTTTCAACTGCCCACACCTGGATATGAGGTCTTGGGTTTGGTGTATATTACATAAAGTCATGTCCTCTGCTCTTAAATTAAAGCCGTGAGTGTGGCCTGACCATGTGCCCTGTCCCAGAGAGGCCAGCTGGCCTCCCTGCATCTCCCTAGTTTACCCTGGGGGAGAGCACATCTCTGCTTCCCAAGCTCAGATGCTGAATGGGACCTCAGAATCATGGAATCCCAGAGCTGAGCAGGGCCGGGCATGTGGCCTAACCAGATGTGCTGCTTCTGGCTCTGCTTTGTCCCGAGGCCTCCCCAGATCATGTTCAGAAGAAGCAGCTGCTGTCAGGGATGGGGTCCAAGACTGGGACTCAGAAATGCAGTTGCCACTCAGCCCTGCCACTCCCTGGCTGTACAACTGGGCCTGTCCCTGGCCCTCTCTGTCCCTCTGTTTCCTCATCTGTGAAATGGGTGTGACCTTCCATGATTACTGAAAAAGCCCACATGTGAGAAAAGGTAAAATGTGCACACCCACATTCTGATTATTTGCACAAGAAGGGAGCCAGGGCCAGGCCTGTCAGAGCTTGGAGTCTGTCCCTCTGCCCTGTACACCTCGGTTCCCACACAGGCCCCAAGCTTTCCTGTCCTGCCATCTGTCTGGCCCCCTTAACTGGTGTCTCCCCTTTGCTTCCAGGGCTTGGATGGAGCAAAGGGAGAGAAGGGCATGTCGGGTGAGAGAGGACCCAGTGGCCTGCCTGTGAGTGTCATGAGCCTTGTTTGTCCTTAGAGGTGCTAATTTCTATAACTGTCATGCCTCTTGACCCATTCCTTTTCCACCCAGGGGCCAGCTGGCCCACCAGGCCTTATTGGGCTGCCAGGAACCAAAGGAGAGAAGGTAACATCCTTCCTTTAATGCCCCCCAACTATCGTGTCACTCAGTCCTGGGGGCTCAACCCCTGCACTTCCCTGGTCCCTGGGGCCAGAATTCAGGTTCTGTGGACAATTCACAGGGCTGAACTTCCCAGCAGCTGTGTTCCCAGCACCTCCTTCTCAGCCCCCTCACATCTCCTCTTTGTCTCTTCTCAGGGCCGACCCGGGGAGCCAGGACTAGATGTAAGTATCTCACCGTTCACTGTGACTGGGTCCCTCCCATGTGTAAGTTTTGCCCTCATGCTGCCCATACAGTAACTTGATCTGGTTAGCTTGGATGTATCCCCCTTCCCCATGGCTGGGACTACAACTGACTCGTTCTGCCCACGTCCCCATTGCTAAGTCCAACACACAGCCCAGAGTAGGCGCTTTGTTGATGGATGGATGGATGGATGGGTGGATGAAGGATGGGTGGATGGTGGGTAAATGAGTGATGGATATAAATAAATGATGGATGATGGATGTAAATGAATGATGGATCATGGATCATGGATGTATGAATAGTAAGTGAATAGATGATGGATGGAGGATGGTGGAGGATGGATGGAGGATAGAGAATGGATGGATGATCCATTGGAGTAGGGAGGTGGGAAGAGCAGTGAGGAGCCTGTTGCAATATCCTGTGAAAGATGACGAGGCTTCAGCTAGTGCAGTACTGTGGGAAGGAGAGAAGGAGAAGTATTAACCCAGTGTTGATTGGATCAAGAGACAGAAAGCACAATTTAAACTGGTTTAAACTGACTCATACCTGAAAAATCCAGATGTATGACACATAGATCCAGGGCTCAAGTGTGTCAACATGACCCAACCTCTCATTCTCTCTTGTCTCTGCTTCCTCTGTGTAGTCATCATTCCAGTTTCCGCATGGTGATGAGATGGAGCCAAGAGCTCCAGACCTGCATCCCCCTCGGTCCAAATCCTGGAGAAAGGCATTTGCCTCACTCTCTACTCTTTGAGAAAAAATCTTATCAACTCTTCTTGGCCCCAGCTAGGTTAATGCTGAAATGTCACTTGCCATAAGAATGCAGTGCCCTGACTGGCCAGCCTGCTCACATGCTCCATCCTGGAGCTGATGGTGGAGTTGGTGAATTGTGAGAAGGGAGGGTGGTTCCCAGGAAAATCAGGTAGCTATTGCAAGGGAAATGGTGACCAGATGCAGGCAGGGCTGCAAGGGCTCTGGCGTCCACCCTAGACTTTAAGGAGAAAATGTCACCATGGAAAGCACCTGCAGACAAGGAAGAGGAAGAACTCTAGACTGACTTTCTGACTGGGAGGGCCACGTTACATCAATGAGGAGGGTCAGGAGAAGACACTGATGAATCCAGCTCAGGCTGGGACCCAGGGAGGTAGTGGGGGTGGAGCAAAAGGGACTCCATGCCACCAGCTGCTCACTGTGGCCACAGCTGCTCTCTGGGAGGCCTGGAGCTCAGAGTGGCATCTCAAAGCCACACCTACCTGCTCTACCTGGCAAACTCCTGGCACCCACTCCACCAGGCCCTGCTGAAATGGGGAGCCTGCTCGGAAGGCTTACCTGACCTCACACCTGGACAGAAGAGCCCCGCTCCCTGGGACCCCGTGGTATCTGGTTCAGACCTCTGTCACTGACCATTGGCCATCATCTTCTGCACCCCACTGCCTGCCCTGTTAGACTGTGTACCTTTGTACCTGCAGGGTTTTAATTCATGGAGGTGACTTAGTGATGACACACAGTGCCTAATGCCTTTGACAGAAGAACTTATAGCTTACATTTCCCAGGGAAATGGCATGTCCCACATGGGGCCACATGGAGACGCAGCAGTTTTCGTTGGCAGGCAGTAAGGAGTGAGGAAAAAGCCTAGGCCAGGGCTTTTATTGGTGTTTCTATGGGAAAAGCAAGGCAGAGCAGAGTAAACAGTTTAGGACTGGCTAGTTTAAATAATCCTGGCAGGCTTTGGGCTATATAGTCTCTTGTTGCCTGCTACCTGGTCCTGGCATGATTTGGGCCAGGGGAAATATTGACTTGGTGTGTGAGTTAGATAGAGTGGGTGGTTGGGGGATTGGTTGGTTTGCATCTGAAAGGCATGCTCCCAGCCTAGCCCTTTGCTATATGTAAGAGTTGACTACCCCTGGGAGAGGCAGCCTCTCCCTAGCCAGCAAGATTTTGAGGATATCAATGTATCATATTTCTAAAAACAACGTAATAAATATAAGAGGGAACATATCAAATCTGATTTTCTGCCCTCAGCATTCAGCCCAAAGCCCAGTTCCTAGTGAATGCTTAGAAATGTTGGTTGGGTAGATGAACAGATGGACAAATGGATGGATGGGTGGGTGGGCATATGAGTTTGAGCCAAAGGCAGAGAACAGAGGGCACCATTACTTGGTCTGCTGAAGATGGTGATATAAACTTACATGGGTTTCCTGTGTCTCTGTCCCCAGCCAAGCCTGGGCCAATGCATGCTGCATCTGACTTGACATAAGAAAAAGCCCCTTGCTAGCGGTTCTGCCTGAGGGCTTCCATCCAGAAACAACAACAGTGTTCTACTTTGGAGGAAGCAGTGCTGGTGTCCTGAATGCATGTTTTCTCTAAGTCATCCTGGTACCCAGCATCTGTGTCACCTAGGAGCTGGGGCTGGTCCAGCTTGTACCACGAGTATGCGTGGAGGGAAGGGGCAAAGGTGGGTCGGAGAGGAGCAGAGATGTACAGATAAGCAGAACAGACCTCAAATTTCATCATCATGTTTAACCTTTAATCCTTTTGTCAGGGTTTCCCTGGACCTCGAGGAGAGAAAGGCGACCGGAGCGAGCGTGGAGAGAAGGTGAGGGAGGTGGAGAGAAAGTGAGGGGCAGCTGGAGAGAAGGTGGGGGCAGGAGGAAAGAAGGAGGGAGGCAAGTGAAGAGAAGGAGAGAGCAGGCAGAAAAGAAAGGAGGGCGGGAGACAGGAAGCAAGCAGAGAGAAGGCGGGGTGGGCGGGAGGAGGTAGGGCCAAAAGGCTGGGATGCGGACAGCAGGGCAGGGGTGGCTGCTGGCCCCAGGCCCATCTCTCTGAGGGGCATTGGGGGTGCCCTGGGCCTGGCAGCCACCGCCACACCCCATCTCCCTTCTTGCACAGGGGGAGCGCGGTGTCCCCGGTCGGAAAGGAATGAAAGGCCAGAAGGGCGAGCCGGGACCCCCAGGCCTGGACCAGCCATGTCCAGTGGTACGTGTTGGCGAGACGTGGGAGCCCCAACCCAGGTCTTTGCCGACTCCTGCCAGGGTGGGGCCATGTCTTCCCTGTACTCAGAACTCAGCTGCAAGTCCCAGGGGCCCCATGGGTCCCACCCTGGGGGGCCCACACTGCAGGGCCACCCCTGCTGTCTCTGCTGTCATGGTGGCTCCTCTTGCTCTGGTCCTGACCCCTCCATGGGCAAGGCTGAGGACCCACCCTGTCTATAGAGAGGGAGGCCTGGTCAGGGACAGAGCTTCCTGGGACCTAAAGGGGGATGGGACCACCCTCACCTCTCTGGGAGTTTCTCCCATCCCAGAGGAGGCTTTTCCTGGTCTGGGTAGCCCCACACTCATCCCCTGCATCCCCTCCACATTCCCCAAAGCCCCATCTGTGAAGGGAACTTCACAGCCTTTCTTCTCTCCTGCTTCTTTACAACAGCCTCTCATGGCCCACCAGACTCAGTACCTGAAATAACCAAAGTTTGGTTCTCTTTTTCTAGAAGGCAGGGAGGGTTTACTTGTCAAACTCTTCCAGTGGAGCTTAGAAAAGACAGGAAAAACAAAACAGCTGAGTTTTCATACTAAAACTCACCAGATACTCACATCTGGCCTTCCCTGCCAGGGACACGGAGCCATGTGGTGTACCCCTTCCAAAGGGGGGTCAGGAGCAGGGACCCCCGAAGCCCAGTCCTCTGACCTCTAGTGGGTCATTTGGCCCTCTGTTCCTCAATCTCCTCATCCATGCAATGGAGATGCTAGTCCCTTTCTCCAGATGGCTTTGAGGAGGCAATGGGAAAAACAGAAAGAGCAGAGCAGGAGGCAAGCACACACTGAAAGGGCCAGCGACAGCAGGGGAACAGGGTGGCCCAGCCCCGCAGCCTCGGGCCCTGGGCCAAGACTTCCCTCCAAGTCATTAAGCCTTTGTCTTTGAAACAGGAGAATCTTAAATGCGGAGGCAGGCGATGGGCGCCAGGCTCCAGGGGCCTGGAGAGGGGCAGCAGACCCTGCCCCGTGGTACGCGGCCTGGCCTGCTGTGTGCTGTGTGCCATGCTGTGCTGGGCATTCTGAGCTGCCTGTGCCCGCTGCTCTGCCCTGCCTTCCTCCATTCTGCCTGCCTTTCCATTCTTCCCCCTCCTCCCCACTTCCCTTTGAGTCCCAGCCTCTGCCCCTGGTGGATGCATGGCAGTGCCGGGGGTGTGCTCCCACGTGCCTGAGGTCTGCCTGTGTACTTTGGAACGGAGTGAAGTGTTGTCCACTACAGCGTCCACCAGGGACGCTAGGCTGACTGACGGGTCAGCCTTTGTCCGTCTCCAGCTCCCCACCTCTGGACCACCTGAAGAAACCCGCCCCCCTGCTTGTGTCTGGTGCCTCCAGACGATCCCCACCCCAACCCCACACACACACCTCCCCACCCCGGCCCAGTGTCCACCCTGACCTCAACCTCCCCTGTCTGCCACTCAGATCCAGACACAGGCACCAGGACAGGCCAAAAGGGAATCCCATTTCCTAGACTGTCCTTCAAATACTCTTGGTCACATGACTGAGAGCTCTCAGGCCCCCGGTGTGAACTGTTAGAGCCACTGTCACAGCTGCCAGACAGAAAGCCATGCAGCCCCTCGCAAGGACCAGGGCCAGGCCCTACTCCTGGCCTGTGGATGTCTGGCATGATGCCCTGTACTCCATGGTGTCCTGGTTCTGCCCACAGCACATATGTCCCAGCAAAGCCCATGGGGGCACACTTGGAATAAGCACAGAGAGGGGCTGCCATGTCCCATGACCTGACTACCCAGGTGGACAGGGCAGGCATTCGGGCCCTGCCTCAGTGGGGTCCGGTGGCCTGAGGTGGCAGCTCCCTACACCTGGGGCAGGAGTGTGTAGGGCCCTGACCAGCCCCCCATCCTTGTCACTGAAACCTTCTTCCTTTCCAGGGCCCTGATGGGCTGCCCGTGCCTGGCTGCTGGCATAAGGTACTTTGCAGGGAAGAGTCTCCAGGGCAGGCTGGGAGGAGTGGGGGGCCCAGGGGGCCTCAGGGCTGGGTGCCTGCTCCTCCCCACACAGTGACTGAACAGCCAGGTCTCCCCGAGATGACCCTAGATTTGACTCTCCCATCACGTGGCCCCAGGCCCAGGGCTGTGATCCTAGGTGGTTGTGCACAGACCACCCTCTTGGTCATAAAGGGCTCACTCAGCGCCTGGCCCGGCCAGTGCAAAGCCATCAGCACCCCCTGGGACTTTGTCCATACCGCCCCCCCTGAGAGGGGGTGGAATCCAGGAGATTGGGGTGAGAGGATTGGGGGCACAGCTGTTCCTGAGGAAATGAGCAGGATGGGGATGTGCAGACCAGGGGCAGGGCCTCTGGGGCTTCCCAGTCCCCTCCTCACCTTCAGTCTTTCCCTCCTTTTCCAGTGACCCCAAGCACGCATCTCACAACCTGTACAGATCCGTGTGGACATTTTTAATTTTTGTAAAAACAAAACAGTAATATATTGATCTTTTCACGGGATGCACCACCATACCTGTGGCCTTTTGACATTTGAGAGTGTGCCCAGCCCAGCCCCAGAATGATCAGCACGTGAAGCTGCCAGGAAAGTGGACAGGCCCATTGGGGGCAATGTGTACTTGAGGGGCACCCTCAGGACTTGGCTTTCCCGGGAAGGAGATGAAGGTGAAAGTGCCTGGCTCAGGAGAGGCTGCAAAGATGTCAGGTTGGGCCTTCAGTCACCTGATTAGCAGAGACTCTGGCTGTCCCACTGCCCTGCAAGAGCCTGCCCTCTGAAGCTCTGGAGCCCAGGATCCACACCATCCAAAAAGGCTCAGGGCATGAATGGCAAATGCAGCTGCTCCTGGCCTCTCTGGCCTCTGCACTCAGCCACAGCCAACTGACACGACTCCCACCCACCACTTGTAGCTGGACACGGGGAGCTGTGGGAAGCACCCTAAGGGGTTGAGCCCCCGCCAAGTTCCGTAGGCCTCAGGAACCAGCCTGCCTTCCGTGAGAACAAGTGTCCTCTGGCCGGGAGTGGAAGCCAAGCGCTGTGATAACTACCACATGGACCCAGCAGCAGGGAGCCCTATGATCCCCAGATGTGGAGGTCCCAGGCTGGAATGTCTGTTGTTCTTGTCTCTCCACCACCCACAGCAGGGACCTGATGGGACTTTGCCAGCCTGAGGAGATGGACCTCAAGCTCAGAGTTGGGGTCTCACTGACCCCAAGGCTTCCACCCAGGGGAACTCTGGTCAGCCTGCCAAAAATGAGTCCTCCGAGTGAGCTATGCAAATGAAGAGAGCCTCGGGGCTGCTCCCAGGCCTGCCTAAGTAGGGCACCTATGCCCTGAGCCAGTGATGCTCTGAGAAGAGGCTTCCCCACCTCTGACAAGGGTTCCCGGCCACCAGCTCCAGCCCAACCACTTGCCTCCCCTCTCTGTGTAGATGGAAATTGTTGCATGAAATAAACAACAAATGTGTGTCTTGGGTATGCCTGTCCTTGCAGACTGCCCCTAGCACCATACCTAGGTGAGGTTTCAGCCTGGCTTTTGCTGGGTGGGGAGGGATAAGGGAACTCTCCTTGGGCCAGAGCCACCCCAGAAACCAGAGGAAGTAGTTCAGCCTCACAGCAAAGATGGGGTTTAGAGTTAGGAAGACACAGACTCAAGGCCTAGCCCTGCTACATACCAGCTGAGCCTTCTGTGCAGTCACCCATGTCAGTGAGCCCCTGTGTTTCCTCTGATCTCATGACCCGTGACTGCTGCATAACAAATCACCCTAAAATTTGTTGCCTTAAAACAATGATCCTTGGAACCTAGAAAAATGGTACAGATGAACCAGTTTGCAGGGCAGAAATAGAGACACAGCTGTAGAGAACAAACGTATGGACGCCAAGGGGGGAAAGTGGGGGGAGGATGAATTGGGAGATTGGGATTGACATGTATACACTAATATGTATAAAATGGATAACTAATAAGAACCTGCTGTATAAAAAAATAAATTAACATTTAAAAAGAAAAGACAAACAAACAAAAAAACAGTGATCCTTGGGAATTCCCTGGCAGTCCAGTCATTAGGACTCGGCACTTTCACTGCAGGGGCCCAGGTTCAATCCCTGGTCAGGGAATTAAGATCCCGTAAGCCACGCGGCATGGCCAAGCAAACGAAACAATGATCCTTCCTGTTTCTCTCTTACAGTTCTGGGGGTAATGGGCTCAGTTGGGCGGTTGTCACTCAAGCTTTCCCACACCTGGCAGTTGATGTTGTCTGTCCTCTGGGACCTCAGATAGCCAGAACACCTCTCTGTGTGGTCTGGGCTTCCTCAGAAGGAAGCTACTGGATTCACAGGGTGAATGTCACAGGTGGACCAGGTGGAAGCTGTGTCACCTTTTACAGCCAAGCCTCAGAAGTCATATGGTGTTACTTCCTGCCAGAATCAGAGGTTCACCCTAATTTAAGGGAAAATTTTCGACATCATATTTTAAGGAGAAAATGGAATAGGAGATGGACAGCCATCTTAGAAAATTCAACCTGCCACGTCATCTGTACAATGGGACAGCAGTGCTTACCATGCTGACTGTGGTTTAGTGAGAATACACGAAGAACCTAGGACAGGTCAAGCACTCGGAAACGACCATGGTTGTAAGTTCCCTCTCTCCTCCTGACCCCAAGCCCAAGCAAGGGCCACAGGGGTGTAGACAAGAAGGGGCCTGCAGTGATGGTGTCTCAGCCTTCTCCCTCCAAGAACTGAGGCCTAAGGAGGCCACAGTATGGGTAGTCCCCCCAGACACTGCTACGTGGCCTCCTCACTAACAAAACAGGCCCAGCCACACACTGGCTAAGGAGAAAGAATAGGTCAAGTCTCCACCTCTGTTTCCCTCAGTTGCTGGCAATAAATGGCAGGCCATGCTGCTCAGCCAGTCACATGGGTCACCAGAGAAGTCAGTAGTATGAAAAGGAACAGAAACACAGAGGGGCTGTGATGACTGATGGAGACCAGTGGACATCCAGGTGTCCTTTGGAGCTCCAGCATCACCGCACAAATCTACTGCACTCTGCAATTTGTAATTTGCTCCTTCCTCCACCCAGGTAACTCACTGGATCCCCTCACCAGCCCTGTAAAGGGCCTATGTGGTTGGTGTCACTATTTCCATCTTACATATGGGGAAAGTGAGGCTCCAAGGGGTTAGTCCCCTGTTCAAGGATGCATGGTAGCAGGCTTGGGACAGAACCTAGGCTCTTGGATGTCCTCCAATTTATCTTTCCCAAATTGCTTGGCAAAGCACGGAGTCTGTGGGTAGCACCATGATGCTGGGTGACTGGCGAGCACAACCTCATGAGGGTAGAAGCCACGTGTTCCCCCTTCCCCAGATACCCAAGGCGGTCCCTTTCCTGCTCCTTTGGGCAGGACAGGGCCATTCATGGCCCATTGCTGCCCCCTTGTGGCCTCATGCTGTGTATTCTCAGGTCTGTAAACTTCAAAATTTAGTCTGCAGAGTCCTCCAAGAGCTTGGGGTGGGGGCAAGAGACTATAGAAGAGTGACTTGCTAAGGTCCCAGCTGAGACACAGGGGAGCACCCTGCCTCACAGCTGAGCCTTAAGGACTGAGGGCCTCACGTCCCCCTGCCAAGGGCAGCTATGCCTCAAACTACCCCTTTCAAAAGCAAAGGAAGCACATTTATGGAGCCCCACTGTGTGCCATGGCATCTAAACTAATCACAAGGATGACTGTTCCCCTTTTGCAGATGAAGCTGAGGCCAGAGAGGAGTGAGCTTACCCAGGTCTCCTTTCTCCCAATCCCTAGGATGCTACTAGAAATTCATGGAATGCTTTTGATTGCCACAATGATTGGGGGACACTCCTGGCATTAGTGAGTAGGGCCAGGGACATCAAACATCTTAAATGCATGGGACGGTCCTGCCCAATGATGAACCATCTCACTGAGAATGCCAATGCTGCCTGCATTGAGAAACGACGTGCCCTGGCTTCAAATCTTGACTCAGCCACTTCCTCTCTTCCCCTGCCCTCTTGGCCTCCGATGGTACCTCAAAGGTCGGGCATGAGATAATGGACAGAGGAGTGCTTAGCACAGAGCCAGAGGAAAGAAAGACTGGGCTTCTCTGAGCAGGAAGAAGGGGAAGCTTCCTGGTGTTGTCCTGCCCCTATTGTAGATACTCTTGGCCCAGTAAACGGCCCAGCCTGGTCTGACCTCCAACCTCCTGACTCTGGACATCCCAGGAGTGGGTGAGATATGAGCCGGGCCTGACTGCGGCCTTCTTACCCTCTACCCTAAAGCAGGAAAAGTCCTTGAGCCAACCTGACTTTTCTGAGCTGCCTGGGCCACAAGACAGGCTTGTGTTTGGGCTCAAGACAGGGCCAAAGATGGGCCCCACAGAGAGCTCTCAGACTCCCTCTGCCACACACACACACACACACACACACAAAAGCATGCACATTACATTAAAAGCTGGAACTGCAGGATGTACAGACACCTATTTGTCTCTCTACCAAAGAGGAGGAGCAGATCCACTGAGAAAACCAGTGACCTCCCACTCACATTTCACATGCAGGGAGGGGGGCTTGACCCTCAGAAAAAATGTGCAGGCCACAAGCAACCTCTCTTGGTTAATTTGGGAGGAATTTTTTTCATGAATCAAGGTTCAATTCAGCTTTACAATTAAAAGAAAGAAACTTCATTCAGTGTGCAATAAAGAAAAAGTTCTGGAGATGGATGGTGGCGATGGGTGCACATGAGTGTACTTAATGCCACTGAACTTGTACACTTAAAAATGTTAAAATGGTAAATTTTATGTTTTATATATATGTTACCACAATAAAGAAACTCCAAATGTTCTTTAATAAATGCCTTAAGCAGGAATTCCCTGGCAATCCAGTGGTTAGGACTCATTGCCAGGGCCCAGGTTCGATCCCTGGTTGGGGAACTAAGATCCCAAAAGCTTCGCAGCACAACCAAAAAAAAAAAAAAATTCCTTAAGCATTTTACAGTTGTATGGGGGAAAAGATGAAGAAATCAGCAATGAGGGGGTGAAGCAGAGGGCTGAGACTCATGAAGAAGTGACAGGAGCAACAACAGGAGCCTCCCTTTCCCCAGCCTGCCCAGGCCACCCAGCTCAGGCTGCAGTCTTACAGCCTTGCTCTAGGGTTCACCGAGGCAGAAAGTCCCAGGAGGGGATATCTCTCTGCTATCCCGGGTTCCCATTCCCTTAGGAGCATTTTCCTCTCACTCCCTGGAATTAAGAGTCCAGCTTCTGCTGCACACTTGCTGTGTGTCTAAGAACAAGCCCTTTCCCTTTCTGAGCCTCCGTTTCCTGGCCATGTATAAGGCTCAGGAAGCCTCCTAACTCTCCTCCCACCTAAACACTGTAAGATTCTCTTAGTGCTGCTATAGCTTGTGTTCACCCTGCCTGGATTCCAGCAGAAGTCCTGGAGGTCATGCCCAGGACCTCCTCAGTCAGCTCCAGCAGTGGCCTTGTGCCCTCCTTCTGCCCTTCCTGCTGCTCCTTCACGGGGCTGGGAAGTCCAAGATCCTGCCCCTGGGCTTCGCCTACTTGAGGCCCCAGCTGTGCACCAGGCTGGGTGCCTGTCACACGTTCCCACTGAACGCTTACGGCTCATCCCATTTTATGCACGGGGAAGGCGACTTAGGGACTGAGCTCGAGGCCCCTGCCGAGGCTCAGAGACCCCCCTCGAGTGCTGGAGCAGCGGCGGGGTCACCGGGGGGCACTTCCCGGGGAGGGAAACAGCAGCGGCCGGGAGGGCGAGGACCGTGGTGCGTTCCCAGGGCCGGGGCAGCACTAGGCGAGGCGAGCACAAACCCGGCTCCCGCGCGGCGTTGTCTAAGGAACTTCGCAGAGGTGGGGAGCCCGTCAGACTCTTTAGCCAACTTAATTAAGGAACAAACTCGAAACAGCCCACTTGGGGGCGGGGCCGCGGGGCAAACAGTAGCTCCGAGTCGCGCTCTGCCATGGGCGGGGCCCGCAGCGGGGGCGGGGCTTGGGCGGAGCCGGGACCACCCCACCCCCACCCCCGACCTCCGCGCAGTGTCTCAGAGCGAGTGCTGGCGGGCGCCATGGCCACTGATCCGCGCGGGAAGGCCGCGACTCTGGCCCTGAGGAGGCGGCTACTCAGGTACCGAGACGGCGACGCGGTGGGGGGGGGGGGGGGGGCCGCGCACAAGGCACGCACGTCCGGCGCGAGCCTACAGGCCCCAGCCCCCGCGGCCTCGCACGACCTATCCCTGTTTCGGCGCCTCTGGCCCCAGAGACCCCGCCGCGCGCAGCCTGTCTCGGCGGTCTTATCCCGCGCCTCCCCCGCAGCGTCTTATCCACCCCCGCAGCCGGGCTCCTGGGAGGACCTCGCCCAGTGGTGGCCCGCCCTCCGGACCTGGGCCCGGCTCGGGAGTGACCCAGGAAGGGGCTGAAAGTCCAGACGAAGGGTGGGGTGGGGTGTCGGCTCACAGGCAGCCTTAGAGAAAGTCTACCCTTGACCTGTGTCTGAGGGGCTGTCGGTGGGACGTGGGGCATGAGGCAGCCTTGGGCTAGAGCTTGGGGCTGGCCCCCACCAGGGCAGCAGGCTTGGAGGGCAAGGACTTGTTTAGGGCCGAGAGCCAGCCACCAAATGGTGGTGCCCTACTCACTCATCCCAGCAAAGAGACACTGCCTTAGGGACCCCGTGTGGGTCTGGAGCAGCCACCTTTCCCGGGACCCGAGCGACTCAATGGGCACATGTGGGAATGAATGAAGCCACATAGCCTTAAAATGACTTAAGAAACAATTTGTTTTTGTTTGTTGCGGTACGCGGGCCTCTCACTGTTGTGGCCTCTCCGTTGCGGAGCAGGCTCCGGACGCGCAGGCTCAGCGGCCATGGCTCACGGGCCCAGCTGCTCCGCGGCATGTGGGGTCTTCCCGGACCAGGGCTCAAACCCGTGTCCCCTGCATCGGCAGGCGGACTCTCAACCACTGCGCCACCAGGGAAGCCCAAGAAACAGTTTGTTTTAGCAACTTCTTACCCCATCCTTTTCTCCTTTCCAGCCACCTGTGGAGTGGGGGAGGGAGTGGAGGCAGGGACGCAACAACTTGCCCTTCAAGCTTTTGTCCTTTCCAGAAACTGGGAAAGGGTAGGGGGAGGCCTGTGATGGGTGGATTTCTCCCTTCCGGTCTTCAGACATGGCTGTCCATTCGTTGTCCCCACAGCAATTCCTGCAGACTCTTTTTTCCTGAGGATCCTATTAAGATTGTCCGGGGCCAAGGGCAATACATGTATGATGAACAGGGGGCAGAATACATCGATTGCATCAACAATGTGGCTCACGGTCAGTATCATACCTCAAGATGGGGCAGGAAAGCATGCCAACACTATGAACCTGGTCCAAGGGTGAACCTGAGGTTCAGAGAGGTACAGAGAACTCAGGTTCTGCTTAACCAGCATCCATGTGCAGAGGAGACCCGGTCTTTCTGGGGTAGCTGTAGAAGTTTCCAAGCAGTAGCTCTGCTAAATCAGCAGGAGTCAGAGACCTAAGTCTAAGGGTCCACTTCCACTTGGGACTGATAGTGAGCTCAGAGAACAGCAGTCAGCCCAGCCATGGCCAGCAACCCAACAGGACCCTGGCCGAGCCCTGGCAGTCATGGCAAGGCTTCAGCCCATGTGATCATCTCAGGTCCTGGACAAGGAAACTGAAGTAGGAATTCAGTTATCCAGATGAGGCCACCAGAGCTGGTGGAAGGAAAGGGAGTTCCAGACTGCCTGGGTTCATATCCCTGTCCTCCACTTGCTATCTTTGTGGCAAGTTTAGGCCTCTGTGCCTCAGTTTGCTCATCTGCAAAATGAACATGATAATACTTGGTATGCACCTCCAGATGTTTTGGGGGATTAAGTGGGTTAATTCATGTAACTTGCTTTGAGTGTGCCTGGCACTTGGTGAGCACCCAATCATCTTCATTCTCTTATCATAATCCTTGGCCATTGGCCATCATTACTTCCAGCCCCCCTGCCTGGTGAAGTCAAGCCACTGACGACACCCCTACCCCTTGTCCATCCCCCATATCCCACACCCCTGTCTTTGTTGAGCAGAAGGCCTCAAGAAGCTTCCTAAAGAGCACAGGTTTTCATATGTATATGTATAACTGATTCACTTTGTTATAAAGCAGAAACTAACACACCATTGTAAAGCAATTATACCCAATAAAGATGTTAAAAAAAAAAAAAAAAGAGCATAGGTTTTCGAGATCAGGTTTCTGCCAGAGAACTTTGCCTTCTGCCAGAATCTCAGGGACTCCTTTCTAGGTCTCCCTTTCCAGACTGGCACCTCTGTCTCACCCCCTCTGTCTTCAGACTCCCGTCTTTCCTCTGTACCTCTGCCTCTATAACTGCATCTCCTTTAGTTGGGTTCACAGATTGGGGCTGGGAGAGGCCCGGAGGGATTGGCTGAGTGAGGCCGGCTGTGTGATGGAGGTGGCCCTCTTGCAGTTGGGCACTGCCACCCTCTCGTGGTCCAAGCAGCACATGAACAGAACCAGGTGCTCAACACCAACAGCCGGTACCTGCACGACAACATCGTGGATTACGCACAGAGGCTGTCCGAGACCCTACCGGAGAAGCTCTGTGTATTTTATTTCCTGAATTCTGGGTAAGTGCACTGTGGCCAGCCCCCAGCAAAAGGATGAGACAACGATGGAGAGATTTGCTCACATGGCATTGTGGCATTTGCTCACGTCGGCATTGTGTAGCCGACGGAGTGTGGGGAGAGGCAGCCCTCAGTGGGCCAGGCACCCACGCTTCCTAGCGGCAGGCCCCACTGCTTCTCTGTCAGATCCACTTTCCTGTTCTCTTTGTAAGGAGTGCCATTACCTCTCTTCTAAGATCATTGTTGGGGCTTACCAAGGTAATATGTTCCTTTATTTCTGCTTTATGCATACACAGGCACAGTGCTGGGAGCTACAGCCAAAATCCCTGCTCTGTAAGGAACAGAAACATCAAAGATGCTTCAAAGAAATACAAAATTACAAAGAGGAATCACTGTCTGGAGGAAAACTACAGAGAATAATGAGGCATAGAAGCAGTGGGGTGACCTGGCCTGCTCTGAGAGGGTTGGGGAAGGCGTCCCTGAAGAAGTGATGTTAGGCTAAGAGCTGACTAGGGGATAGCTAGATGAGGAGGAAGGTAAGGTGCTGCCCGCTCCATTGGAAGTGTTCTTGTCAAGGTCACCACACGGAACAGCCTGTACAGAGGTCCTATGGCAGGAAGAATATTTGGCACCCCAGCGCACTTGAGCTGAAAGGCAGCCAGTGAGGGAGGGCAGAGGGTGGGAGCCTGGGGACACTGGGGAGGGAGGCAGAGCCCATCACCCAGGGCTTTATTGGTCAAGTGAGGAATCTGTGTATCCCAAGAGCATTGGGAAGCCATCAGAGGGTTTTAATCAGGTAAGTGGTGTCATCAGGACTGGAGGAAAGCAAGAATGGACACCATTAGGCACCAGTTTAGTGACCGGTGATAGGTTATGCTACACTGGGAGTAGCAGTGGAGGCAGAAATGGCAGATGATGGCGTGTACACAGAACCAGCCCAGTGTGCCTGGGAGAGAAAAGTACAGAGAATTATGAGGCATAGAAACAGTGGGGGGACCTGGTCTCTTTGCTGCCCTTGTCTTCCTGTTTCTCAGTAATAGTGACAGAGTTACCACTCTCTCTGGAAATGCTTTCTGGTCTTGATTCCAGAACATTTCACGCTTCTTGTTTTCTGCCAGCTTCTGGCCACTCCCCCTGTCTCCTATGCCGATTCTTCCTACTCTATTCCTCAGGGCTGGTCCTCTCTGAGCCCTCTGCCTTCCTTACCTCATCCATTCCCGTGTATTACATATCATCCACATGCTGGTGACTCCCAACTTTGTATCTTTTTAAAATTTATTTATTTATTTGGCTGTGCCAGGAATTCGTTGCAGCACGCGGGATCTTCATTGCGGCGTGCAGGATCTTTAGTTGCGACATGTGAGATCTAGTTCCTTGACCAGAGATCGAACCCGGGCCCCCTGCATTGGGAGTGTGGAGTCTTAACCACTGGACCACCAGGGAAGTCCCCCAGATTTGTATCTTAAACCCAGATGTTTCCCATGTGTTCCAGCCTCAAGGTTCTAACTGCCCACTTGACTTTGGAACAGGTCTAACATCACCTGTCCAAAAGACATCAGGAGTTGATCGCCAGGTTTCCTTGGTGGCGCAGTGGTTAAGAATCCGCCTGCCAGTGCAGGGGACACGGCTTCTATCCCTGGTCCGGGAAGATCCCACATGCCGCAGAACAACTAAGCCCATGAGCCACAACTACTGAGCCTGTGCTCTAGAGCCCACGAGCCACAAATACTGAGCCCGTGTGCTGCAACTACTGAAGCCCGCATGCCTAGAGCCCATGCTCCACAACAAGAGAAGCCACCGCAATGAGAAGCCCTCGCACCACAACAGAGTAGCCCCCGCTTGCTGCAACTAGAGAAGGCCCGTGCGCAGCAACGAAGACCCAATGCAGCCAAAAATAAATAAATAAATTTATTTTTAAAAAAAAGAAAAGAGTTGTCTTCGCTAACACCTGGTGTGGGACCACGGCACTGGCTCTCCCTGACATTCTCAGGCACCTACCCCAGACTTTCCCAAGAAGACCGGCCCTCCCTCACCCTATCTGTCCTGGCAAATGGCAGCACCGTCTGCGCCTCTGCTCAAGGTAGAAACGCACCCTCCTCCCAGTCCTGCATCAGGCTTGCCTCGTCTGTCTCCAGGTTGTCTCCTAACTCCATTCATCTCTCTCTGTCTGCGTGGTCACCACCTGCTCTCACCTTCGTGTCCTCCTTCTAGGTCTCCTCACTTGCACTTTAATTCCCTTCTACTCCATTATATACACAGAGAGGCTTCCTCCTCATATGGGAGCTGAATCATGTCCCTTCTTTGATTAAAACTTTTCAGTAGCTTCACATAGCACTGAGAAGAAAATCCAGGCTCCTTCTGCAGCCCTGCCTATCTCCCCACTTCCTCTCTCATGCTGCCCCTGGCCTCCCTTGTCTTCTTGTGGTTCCCTGAGCAATTTTCCTTCACAAGGTCTTTGTGTGTGCTGCTCACTCTGCCTAGAAACTTCACCCTCAGGACTCTACAGGTGTGGCCTTCGTCTGTTCTGGCTGCCGTAACAAAATACTGTAGACGTGGTGGCTTAAACAGAAATTTATTGTCCCACAGTTCTGGAAGTCAGAATCCAAGATCAAGTTGCTGGCAGATTTGGTTTCGTTGAGTCCTCTCTCCTTGGTTGCAGGTGGCCACCTTCTCACTGTCTTCACATGGCCTTTCTTTGGAGCATGCACACCCCCGGGTGTCTCTCTGTGTGTCCAAATGTCTTCTTACAAAGAGACCAGTTGTATTGGATTAAGGCCACCCAGATGGCCTCATTTTAACTTAATCACCTCTTTAAAGGGCCTGTCTCTAAATAAAATCACATTCTGAGATACTGGGAGTTAGGACTTCAACACATGAATTTGGGGAGACACGATTCATCCCATAACACCCCTTATCTAAGGTAGGGCCCCACCTGGTTCTCTCGGTACCCTGTGTCCATTGTAGCACTTACCAAATGATCATTCTGTCTTTGTTTATTGGCTTTCGTGACACATAGTAGAATGTAAGTTCCAGGAGGGCCAGAGCCTGCCTGTTTTACTTAACTATTTTCGCCCCCAGCTCCTAGCACATTGAAGGCATTTGATAAATGTTTACTGAATGAATAAGCGAATGACTAATGAATGGTGTCCTAAGAATCTTCTTGCTGCTGGAAGGGCTCTTCCTTCCCTCCAGGTTTCTCTGTAGAAAGCAGTTATCCTGGAGGGAAAGCCCTTGGATAGCTGTCCAAGCAGTATCCACTTTTTCTGTCGTAGGTCAGAAGCCAACGACCTGGCCCTGAGGCTGGCGCGCCAATACACAGGACACTGGGACGTGGTGGTATTAGATCAGTAAGTGCCATTTCCAGAAGTGTGGGCCTGCTGCTTATTGGGGATCAGTGAGGCTCTGATTTTGGGTGCCTTGGGCAGGAAAGATGAGGGGCCTGGGCCTGGAGAGGATCATGAGGACCTGGCCACAGAGACACCCCACACACACACACCAGGCGGCTCTTTCCCCCGGGTGTCTCTTCTGTGGTGGCAGCTTCTGGGGAGCAGAGAATGCTTTATAAGGTGGTGAGAGTTGGTCCCACATATTAGGTATTAAAACTGTTGTAGGGACTTCCCTGGTGGGCCAGTGGTTAGGACTCTGCACTGCCAATGCAGGGGGCGCGGGTTTGATCCCTGGTTGGGGAACTAAGATCCCACATGCCGTGTGGCACGGCCAAAAGATAAAAAAAATAAAATTAAAAAATGTTCCAACAGTAGCTCCCATTGTACTGAGTATCTGCTGTGCACAAGACCCAGGCCCAGGGTTAGAGCATTATCACATTTAAGGTTCATTACAACCATGAAGGAGAAACACCACCACCCCCAACTTTACAGGGGAGGGAACTGAGCCCAAAGATTTTAACGATTAGCCACCGTTACATAGCTAGTAAGTGGCCTTGGAGGAAGGCTTGCTGACTCCAAGGCCTGTGCTCGTTCCTGGCCCTAGGACTCAGGCTGTGTCTGAAAGGTTGGTCTTCCCTGAGTGTTTCCTGAGGTGAACAGACAGTTGTCAGGGCCAGGCCAGGAAGTACATGCCACCTGGGTCTGAGCCCACTCTCCCTTCTCCTTCCCAGTGCTTATCATGGTCACCTGAGCTCCCTGATCGACATCAGCCCCTACAAGTTCCGGGACCTGGATGGCCAGAAGGAGTGGGTCCACGTGGTATGCACTGCTCAAGTGGGCAACAGGCCGGTGCTTGCGCCTCAGCCTGGATGACATGGTGCTGTCACTCCCCACAGGCACCTCTCCCAGACACCTACCGGGGCCCCTACCGGGAGGACCACCCCAATCCAGCTGTGGCCTATGCCAGTGAGGTGAAACGTGTGGTCGGCAGCGCACAGGAGAAGGGCAGGAAGGTAACCACATCCACGCAGGTCTGGTCCAGCAAACAGCAAATGTTGCCAGCCCTGGACTGGATCTTGGGAACCCTGAGAGAAATTGGAACCAGGGCCTGCCCTTTGGGAGTCTAGTAGAGGGCATAAGTGCTCAGCAGAGTGTTTAGGTAGAGATATGTCCTGGGCGTTATTGGACTCCAGGGGCCCAAGCTGGACTGGGGTGTGTGTGATGGTGGGCCCGTGGAGGGGGTGCTGCCTGATTTTAGTAATATAAGGTGAGTAGGAGTTAGCCATTCAAGGTGGGGTCGGGGTAGACAAGGAAAGGCATCCTCAACAGAGCGGCGGCCTGTGCAGGAACCATGTGAGTATGGGGCCAGGCTGAGCCGGCAGGAGATGAACCTAGAGAAGCAGGCAGGACCATAGGCCCGTGGACTGCAAGTACCCCTTTAGCTGAGGGGCTAGAGGCCATGGGAGACCTTTATAGAGTTTTAAGAGAGAAGGTAATAGGACCAGGGGATGCAGTTGAATGGGGCCAGTCTGAGGGCAGGTGACATGAAGAGGCCCTGTTGGCCCGAGTGAGCAATGGGGAGACCCACCCAGGGCAGCGTAGTAGAGATGGATTGTGGGGCAGAGACAGGAGAGATATGTCATACCCTGGAAGAGCAGCAGCCATGGCAGCAGTAGAGGGGAGGCAGCTGGCGATTGGTATTAGGGCTCTCTAGAAGGCTTTGCTGAAGGAGTGACAGCTGAACACAGGATATATAGCAAAGACAGGCCAGGAAGGTTGGCAGAGCCAGATCCAGGAAGCCTGGCCCATGCATTTCCGATGTTCTGCACCTACTTATATAAAACCAAAAAAGAGATTCCTGTGGTGGCAGCATGGGTGGGTGACCGGTTTCCCACCCCGCCAGTCCTTCCTTCATCCCAGCAGTAGCCTCTGAAGCAGCTCCAAGGCAGAACACAGTTTGGAAGTCATTGCTATAAGCAAAAGGGTCAGTGAAGGGTTTTAAACAGGACAGTGATGAGCTCAGTGTCTACACTGAGGCATCACCCTGGTGGCCAGTGGAGGATGGATTGGAAGAGGTGTCCAGTTAGAAGGCAGGAGGCCAAGGCAGAAACTGGCAGGTCTGCCAGGAGGCAGGAGTATCCAGCGGGGAGGGGAAGGAGTGGGTGCAACGATGTTACAGGGATAGAGTCAGAGGCTGTGCTGGCTGATAGATGAAGAAGGAGGCTGGATCAAGGATGGGGCCAGATTTCTGTCCTAGTTGGGAGGGATGGGACTCACCATATGGGAGAAGGGAAGGAACAGGCTTATGGGGGAGAAGTCTGGATTTCATCTGGAGCATGCTAAGTACAGGGGGTCTGGAGGCATCCAGGTGGTAAGAATTGGTTCAAGGCCTGAAAAAGCTATGTCACAGACCCTCAGGTGTGATGTGGAGCCCAAAGTGGGGGCACAGTGCGGACAGTAACTCATCATGTTTGGAGCCAGCACTGAGCCAGCATCAGCGGACGTGCTCAGCTTGCAGCTCAGCCCCTCCGCAGTGCCATTCCCTTCTCCTCCACAGATTGCAGCGTTCTTTGCTGAGTCTCTGCCCAGTGTGGGAGGGCAGATCATTCCTCCTGCTGGCTACTTCCCAGAAGTGGCAGGGTGAGTAGGTGGGAGAGGCTGCCTCAGGGTGGGGTTTGCCAGCCTTTGTTCCAAATTCCAACCTCAGCCTGGCAATTCCTGCCAGAATTGTCAGACAAAGCCCCTGAAGAAATAGTGGCTCCAAGAAGGCCAGCTATCTGCGTAAGGTCCCCACCTTACTGTTGGCAAAGCCAGGATTCAGAGTCCCAAGACCCAGCTTCTGGTCTCCTCCCTCTCACCACAGTCCCCCATCAGCCGTGTGTCCTCTGCCACAGGCACATCCGCAGGGCCGGAGGGGTCTTTGTTGCAGACGAGATTCAAGTGGGCTTTGGCCGAGTAGGCAAGCACTTCTGGGCCTTCCAGCTGCAGGGGGAAGACTTTGTCCCCGACATTGTCACCATGGGCAAGTCTATTGGCAATGGCCACCCTGTAGCCTGTGTGGCCACAACACATGCTGTGGCGAGGGCATTTGAAGCCACCGGCGTCGAGTACTTCAACACGGTGAGTGAAGGCTCCAGGGCCAGGAAGCACCATGGTGGCTTCTGTACAAACAAGGCCACTACTACTCACTAATTTTCTTGTAAATATAGTTGTTTTATCGTAAATATTACAGTAAATATAAATAGATATAACCCATATAAACAAAAGCTCGTTGGATTCCTCACAAGTTTTTGAGAGTGTAAGGGAATTCTAAGACCGAAAGTTTGAGAACCACTGCATTATCATTCAATTCTAGTTTTTTCAAATCTTTTTGTTAACTTCTGACTTACTGCCACTTATTCTTTTGATACTTATTCTGTAAAATGTGTTGAGGTGACCTGGTACGTGATTGTTCTACATGTCCTTGGGAAATTGTGGGTTCTCTAAATGTTGTTTGCCAGACTCCCTGAATGTCTCTTAGGTCACACTTGTTAATTGTGTTGTTTGAATCTTCTGTATTCTTACTGGATTTTTTTTTTCCTACTTAACCTATTAATAATTAAGAACTGTGTGTTTAAATCTCACACTATGATGAAAAATGATCAGTTTTTTTCTTGTAATACTGTTAATTTTTGCTTCATATATTGTGAGGCTGTTAAGTAATATATATGTTACTTAATAATATTAAGTAGTATATATATATACTTTTGGGTTTTTTTGGCCGCGCTGCTTGGCTTACAGGATCTTAGTTCCCCGACCAGGGATTGAATCTGTGCCCTCGGCAATGAAAGCATGGAGTCCTAACCACTGGACTGCCAGGGAATTCGCAGTATATATGGTTTTTTTTTCTGTATGTTCATTGGGAATTGAATCTTTTTCTTGATTGAGGTATAATTGACATATAACATTATATTGATTTCAGGTGTACAACGTAATGATTCAGTACTTGTGTGTGTGTATGTATATATGTGTGTGTGTATATATATGTGTGTATGTATATATATATATATATATATATATATATATATATGGTGATCACCACGATAATTCTAGTTAACATCCATCACCATACATGGTTACAATTTTTTTTTTCTTATGATGATGAGAACTTTTAAGATCTGTTAGCAGCTTTCAAGCATACAATACAGTATTATTAACTACAGTCACTATGCGGCCCTGGGACTTATTATTTTATTTTATACCTGAAAGTTTGTACCTTTCGACCCCCTTCACCCATTTTGCCCACCCCCACCTCTGGCAATCACCAATCTGTTCTCTGTATCTAAAAGTTCAGGGTTTTTTGGGTGTTTGGTTTTTGGTTTTCTTAGATTCCACATATAAGTGGAATCATATGGTATTTGTCTTCTCTGTCAGATTTATTTCACTTAGCATAATGCCCTCAAGTTATGAAAGCATCTTGTTGCAAATGGCAAGATTTCCTTCTTTTTTAGGGCTGAATTTTATATATATACATTCCATTCATCAATCAATAGACACATATCTTGGCTATTGTAAATAATTCTGCCATGACTGTAGGGGTGCAGATAGCTCTTTAAGATAGTATTTTCAGTTCCTTCAGATAAATATCCAAAGTGGAATTGCTGGATCACATGGTAGTTCTATTTTTAGTTTTCTGAGTAACTTCCACACTGTTTTCCATAGTGGCTGCACCAACGTACATTCCCACCAACAATGCACAAGGATTCCTTTTTCTCCACAACCTTGCCAGCACTTGTTATTTCTGGTCTTTTTGATAATAGCCATTCTAACAGGTGTGAGGTGACATCTCATTGTGGTTTTGATTTGCATTGCCCTGACGATTACTGGTGTTGAGCACCTTTTCGTGTACCTGTTAGCCATCTGTATGTCTTTGGAAAAATGTCTATTCAGATTTCTACCCAATTTTTAAAAATTTATTTATTTAATTTATTTATTTTTGGCTGTGTTGGGTCTTCGTTGCTGTGTGCCAGCTTTCTCTAGTTGCGGCGAGTGGGGCTTCAGTAGCTGTGGCACGTGGGTTCAGTACTTGTGGCTTGTGGGCTCTAGAGCACAGGCTCAGTAGTTGTGGCGCACGGGCTTAGTTGCTCCTTGGCATGTGGGATTTTCCTGGACCAGGGCTTGAACCCGTGTCCCCTGCATTGGCAGGCAGATTCTTAACCACTGCGCCACCAGGGAAGCCCCTCTACCCAATTTTTAATTGTATTGCTTGGTTTTTTTCTACTGAGTTACATGAATTCTTTATATATTTTGGATATTAGCTCCTTATCAGATACATGATTTGCAAATATTTTCTCCCAGTCAGTTGATTGCCTTTTCATTTTGTTGATGATTTGCTGTGCAAAGCTTTTTAGTTTTATGTAGTCCCACTTGTTTATTTTTGCTTTTGTTACCTTTGCTTTCAGTGTCAAATCCAAAAAATCATTGCCAAGACCAATGTCAAGGAGCTTACCGCCTATGTTTTCTTTAGGAGTTTTATGATTTCATGTCTTACATTCAAATCTTCAGTCCATTTTGAGTTAATTTTTTGTGTATGGTGTAAAATAGTGGTCCAGTTTCATTCTTTTGCATGTGGCTGTGCAGTTTCTCAAGAATTGAGTCTTTTATTATATGGAGTAATAGTTTCCATTCCTAATAATGTTTTTGGTCTTAAAGTTTATTTTATCTGATATTATAAAGCTAAGTCAGCTTTCTTTTGACTATCAATTACCCAATGTATTATTTTCCACCCTTCTATTCTCAACCTTGTGTGCTCATGCTTTAGGTGTATTTCTTTTAACCAGCATATATCTAGAATTTGGGTTTTTGCCCAAATCTGTTAATATTTGACTTCAAAGTAATGACTTTAAATTTAACGTAACTATTGATGTATTTAGGCCTGTTGCTAGCATCTTAATTTATAATTTTAGCTTACCATACTTTTCTGTGTCTTTTAATCCTTCCTATTTTATTTAAGTATCTGTATTACATGTATTTCATCCCAAATTCCTTTCAGTGGAAGCCTTTATGTTGCGAACCTTCTGAGGTCTTCTGTGCCTAAGGGTATTTGTGTCAGGCCCTCATATTTAACTATTTTAGCTAAAAATAGAATCTAGGTCCTAGTTACTGTAAAAGTATATTCCAGGGACTTCCCTGGCTGTCCAGTGGTTAAGACTCCACGCTTCCACTCCAGGGGGCACAGGTTCAATCCCTGGTCAGGGAACTAAGATTCTGCATGCCACGCAGCAGGCCTAAATAAATAAAGTCAGTGCTGATGGATTCATTTTTTTTTAAAAGTGTATTCCATTGTCACCTTGCATGCAGTGTTGCTGTTGAAAACGCTGAAATCACTGATTCTTTTTTAGTTGAGATATAATTCACATATTATAAAATTTACTCTTTCAAATACAAATTCAATGGTTTTTAATTCAAGTACAATTCAGTCTTTTATAGTATACTCACCAAGTTGTTCAGCCATTATTACTGTCTTAATTTTCATTGTTGTACATTTTCATCACCCCAAAAAGCAACTCCATACCCATTAGCAATCACTCCCCATTGCCTTTTCTCTACAAGTACTGGCAATCACTAACCTTCTTTCCGTCTCCATGGATTTGCCTGTTCTTGACATTTCACATAAATGCAGTCACACAATATGTGACCTTTTGTGTCTGGCTTCTATCACGTAGCATAATGTTTTCAAGGTTCATCCATGTTATAGCATGAATCAGTCTTTCATTCCTTTTTATGAATGATTAATGTTCCATTGTATGAGTATACCGCGTTTCATTTATCCATTCTTCAGCTGATGTTTTGGTTGTTTCCCCTCCTTGGTTATTATGAATAATGCTGCAGTTGACCATTCAGTGTAGATGTTTTTGTATGGAATGTGTTTTCAGTTCTTTTGAGCGTATGCCTTACCTATGAGTGGAGTTGCTGGGTCATATGGCAACTCTTAAGTTTAACTTTTTGAGGAATGACAAAGTTTTTCCAAGCAGCTATACCACTTTACATGCAACGTATGAGGGTTCCAATTTCTCCATATCCTCTCCAGCATTTATTTTCTCTCTTTTATTATAGCCATCCTAGTGAGTGTGAAGTGGTTTCTCGTTATGATTTGCATTTGCCTGATGGCTAGAGGTGCTGAGAATCTTCTCATGTGCTTATTGACCATATATATATATATATATATATATATACACACATACACACACATATGTATGTATATATATATGTATCCCATTATATATGACATATATTCCAAAGAATATATCCTTTGCAAATTTTTTAATTGGGTTACCTGTCTGTTTTTGCTGCGTTGTAAGCATTCTTTTTTTTTTTTTTTTTTTTTTGCGGTACGCGGGCCTCCCACTGCTGTGGCCTCTCCCGTTGCGGAGCACAGGCGCCGGAGGCGCAGGTCCAGCGGCCATGGCTCACGGGCCCAGCCACTCCGCGGCATGTGGGATCTTCCCAGACCGGGGCACGAACCCGTGTCTCCTGCATCGGCAGGCAGAACACTCAACCACTGCGCCACCAGGGAAGCCCTGTAAGCGTTCTTTATGTATCCTAAATACTAGATTCTTACCAAATACATAAAATTTGTAAGTATTTTCTCCCATTATTTGAGGTGTCTTTTCACTTTTTCGATAGTATCCTTTGAAGCACAGAAGTTTTTAATTTTGATGAAGTCCAGTTTATTTTTTCTTTGGTTGCTTGTACTTTGGAGTCATAGCTAACAAACCATTGCCTAATCAACGGTCATAAAGATTTACACCTCTGTTTTCTTCCTAGAATTTTATAGTTTTTATTGTTATATTTAGGTATTGGATCCATTTTGAGCTAGTTTTTAAATATGGTATGAGGTGGGGTTACTTAACTTTGCATATAGATATCCAGTTGTCCCAACACCTTTTGCTGAAAAGACTGTTCTTTATTATATCTTATCCCATTGAATGGTCTTGGCACCCTTGTCAAGAATCAATCAACCAGGGCTCCCCTGGTGGTGCAGTGGTTAAGAATCCACCTGCCAATGCAGGGGACATGGGTTCAAGCCCTGGTCCGGGAAGATCCCACATGCCGCAGAGCAACTAAGCCCATGCGCCACA